TTTAAAACTCGTAAACTCCGATACAACTCACAGCCTAAATGGGTCTCATTGAATTTTTCACGTAAAATGAAAAATAATGCCTCGTGACGATTCTTTTCTTTTTAAGAAGTGCGGCATTAAAGAATAGGATCTCTTGAAGATATACACATATGTATCCACACTTCATAACGATATAATTTAAAGCGAAATGTTCTTTCATCGATAGGCTCACCTTTCGCGGTGCCGGCTACTATTCATCGCCACCTTTAAGCACCCTCGACGGACCTCACCGGCAAGAGGTCACATCCTGCTGATGTAATTATCTTATCTCCGGCTACGTCACCGGCGTGGTACGCAAGGAGAATCCCGCGAGTGAATTACGACGAGGATATATCGCCGAGTAATCGTATCGCACGCGGCAAATGCACGCGGCTGATTCGACCCAGCGGTGGGCTCGCGCCTTCGGCGATGGTTTATTTATCGCGAGGTAAGGTAAATCAATCGACGCGCGGCCGTGTAGCGCGCAGAAGGATACTCGAAGGATATGAATTACCCGCGAGCCGCGCTCAGTAGTTCGCGATAGAACTGGTCAGACGAGCGGCGGCTGCTTCGCCGCGGTGCAAAAGTGTGCAACGCCAAGCCTCTGCACAGACCCAAAGATATTAATTAAATGCCGCGGTATTTCGAATCTTAATTTTACTAATTGTAAGATTCATTTTATCGCGATTCGCACGACGAATCAAGATACACCGATAACTCTTCTCGAGATAACATCTCGAAAGGGAGATTTTTAAATACCGAGGCCTGTGCCGCGCGTCTAAAGCTTGAGAGTGGCCTCTGCTGCTCGGAACGCTGCTTTACATCGTAATTATAGCGGGACGCGTAATGCCAATTACCGGAGGAATCCGAGAAATCGTAAAGAATACCAATTAAGGACGATCTCTCGGATCCGTTTTATACGTCGCCTCGTCGTAAATTCAACAGCTGGCTAGGCCAGCTGTAGATCAGTTTTTCCCCTCTAACCGAGGAGGGAGAATACGATAGATCAGAAATAACGCCGTACCATGCGACTTCACCTCGTCGTCTAATGCATGCGCGGCGCAGCCGCTACGGTGTACGGGCTACAGAGCCCGCGCGTCCGTCCGCCGACAGAGTGTGGCATTTAGGATCCGTGCCGTCGTGCTCGCGGCGGTGATGTTACGCAAGGTGCGCCTTTAGCCGGCAACGGCGACGACCTCGCGCGCGCGCGGTCCAGCAGGATCTCTTGCGAAATTCCCCGACCCGAGTGCGCGAGTTCCTCGTTGAAAAGCGACAGCCTCGTCTTTTTCCCAGCGGGATTGACGGGGCCCGCTCCACGGGGAAGCCCGACACTGTTGGAGTCGCGACACGAGACAGGCAATTTTCCCGGACTCGTATATTCCTCCGTTTAGCTATTTTTCGTAAAAAAAAGGAGGAAAAGCGCGAGGCGCGCGTCTTGACATTTGACTTTGAGATCTCAATCCCGTTTAGATTTCCATTCGCTTCTCCGTTTGAAATCGTGACTTTTTAAGCTCGCTTAATCGTGAAGCCGTCTTCCGATATCTCGTGGAAATTGCTGCCGAAATTGTCAGTGAAATTGCCATCAGGCAGGTTATTAATTGTCAGCACAGGATGATAGAGATCAGGTGTCAACCTCCGGGGTCCAAGATATACCACGCAACGCCTCTGAGGAGTCTGAGGATCTTTGCGTAACGACGCAACGCGTGAGGGACAGCTCTCGCATCTGTTTATCCCGGAATGATCGCGCGCGTCTCCCCTGCAGCCAGCTGCACCGTCCGCAGCATCGTCGCGCACACAATCGATTATACAATAATATCGCGCCTTGAGAAGACGCTCCACTGCAGAAAGGAAGAGTCACGATCTGACGTGGCCCGCCACGGGACGATGCACTAAGTCGGCTAGTCATCTATATATGGTGTCCCAGAAGCCTCGATCTCTCGGGCTTAACGACCTTTCGCGAATTTCGCGGCTTTAGTATTATAATTTTACCGGCGTTACGTCCGATATTACGCGAAACGTCTGTTACAGAAGAAATTACAAATATACTTTGTATCTGAAATCGAATTTCTATACTCAATATCGCTGTGAATGTGTCGTTCAAATTGTCTTCTCTATTTACCTGTTTTAAAATAAGATTTTACTTGTAATTTTATGTGCCATTTGATTTATTTGACACGTGTGTGTATTTCTAATTCTTTTCAAATATTGTCATATTATGTCGCATTAAAATTTGTCATAAATTTAAAAGTCGTAAAGTTAAAAGAGTAAAAAAGTTCTGGTTTTTTTTTCTCAAGAATTTTGCAATAGTCTAATTGAAAGGCAAATCGGTGACCGCAATTTTTTACTAATAGATGGACCGACCGTGTAAGAGTCTCTTTTTCTTTATTAGAAACTAATTCTCTACCTTTGGAAACTCGCGGGAAAAATTGTAATGAGGAACGGGGGGGGGGGGAGGGCATAGAGTGAGTGAGACTATCGGAAATATTAATGTTATCCTTCGTCAATGATGTAAATCAACGGTGCCGACTAGCTAATTTGACGATAACGACTCCCGGGTATTAATCCGTAACTTAGCTAGCCTACGGCGTTTGCATTGTGTATTATCAGCCGCGAACGTATTCAATTATATGAGGCGGGGTGCATATCGATATAACGTAGCCACGTGTAACCTCCGAGACGGCTCCGATTACATGTGCGTATGATATAACGGCGCGATACGCGGCCTCTTGATCATAGACGTATCGTATTAGAAAGTCCGATAGGATCTCCGCACGCGCAATAATAATGTGATGGCATATTATATAATATATAATGATACGCACGCGCGCGCATAATTGTCCAATATTTAGACAAGTTGGACAAAAGTGGAAAACGATCCGTGGAGAAAGCGAATGATCCAAACGACAGCTTCAGCAATGACAAGGAGAAATTCGATTTTTGAAAATACGTGAAATAAATTTATAATTTTTTTTTTTTTTTAAAGATTCATTTTCCGAGAACGCCGCTCAATGAAATAACGAACACGATATTGCTCTTACGCGAGAGTTACGATGGAAGATTGAAGATTCTTGTAGAGAAGATCGAAGGCGCGTCGTTGACTTCTTTCCTCCCACGGAGAAGATCCTTACTCTCCGTAATGCGTCCCCCCCCCCTCTCTTTCTTTCTCTCTTTCTCTGTTTCTCTGCGTCTCAATCATTAGCATAAGCCGTTCACTTATGTAACAGTATACTTTCTTTTCAAATCTCGGCCGGCGCGCATCATCCTCCTTCGTTACTCGATGATATAATTCGTGTCAGATAAGATTGTTCGTGTGTCGCGTCGACCAAAGATAAATACCCGAGGAGGTTCGGACCTTTTAAAATATTTTTACGAGACGGAATCTCGACTACCAAATTCGAGCATTTGAGTTTGAATGCCGTCTGAATATATATCGGCTTCGATTTCGAGCGGGTCTTTGAGACGGGATTGATGGTCAGAGAATGTTACTATTATGTATAAACATCGTGAATATAAACACGGTGAAATTATTTCCTTCTCGGTCTCGCGAGTAATGTTTGTCGAGTAATGTTTGTCGAGTGAACAGGCAATTCTCTCGGGGTCTCGAGACATTGATGACTAAGAATGGAATTTTTAGAATAGACCGAGGCTCTTCCTTGGAAAGCGACACTCCTCGCCAGTTCCGGGACTGTACTTTTTACATCAGAAACTCGTTTTTCTTGAATTGGAAAACAAAAAAGGAATTAATCGTCTCTTGTAACATCTGAATTTTTCGAACATCGAAACATATGTTACTAGATTATTGGGTTGCCGCACAATTACGTAACATGTTTATTTTTACAAGCAACTAATACGATATGTTTCTTAAAGCAATTTATGTAAATATATTTTTAAATATTGCGCGCACATATGTGCATTTATATTGTTCTATATTGTTAAGAGAAAATGAATATTTTTTTAAGCGATTGATTAATATTGAGAGAAAGTGTTCACAAATTGATATAAATTTGCAATAATATATTAAACATATTTATTTTCGTTTGTGAGGCCGATCAGAGAATGCAATATCAATTTATCAATCCGTAAAAAATTTCTCTCAATATAATAATTCATGAGTCCGCTCGCCTATAATCTTCTCTTAATTTTATTACTCGCGCTAAATGAAATGTTTCGCTGTCAGCTGATCTCGATGAATATCGTAACGTGATGCAACAGGAGTCATGCATGATGGATTATCGACTTTGATCACACAGAAAATTTAGTTAGTTGGTCAAACACAACGCATTAGAGCTATATGCACACGTGCGCGTTAATATCACCGCGTCAAGATGAGCCTGTTGCGTATTGCGTAACGTAAAAAAAAACATAATATAAGACCAATGGATTAAGATTTAACGAGGCCGCAGGAGGGAAGGGATTTAACGTGTAACCTTTAGCGGAGCTTATCTCTCAAAGTGCATTTGAAATTGCTCCCAGAGATTAATCCGTGACTATTAACGCTGGAATTACGACAGTCTCTGGACCAATAATACAAGCGCGTTTCGACAGGCGAATCTTGTAAAGTTGCGCGTTATTACGATCTTCGCGCGCTCGCGAGAAACGAAATTCCGCGAGAAAATTGACAATTAAATCTCTCCGGGAGCTTTTCTCTCTTAACGCGGGACGTAAATCATCGGCGGCGAGCGTCCGATGGCCAGGCGAGAAATTAGAGTTACGACGAGATCTCTGGCGCGACCTGCTCAGGTGAAACCGCCCCGGCGCGCGTCCATCCCAGGTATTCCGGCCTGACATTCTCGGCCGCCGCCGCCGCCGCCGCTGCCGCGCGCGGCGATGGTCGCGTTGTGCCATCACCGGCCGGTGTCGGCCCCGGTCATTTAAGGATTTCGAAACATGAACATGAAAATTTTGGCAACGCCGTGAGCGATGGTAGGGCGCAAATTCACATCACACGCACACAATTCTGGCCATATATAATCCCCATCGGCGCCGTACGCCGAATCAGTTTTTGTGAGCCACCTCAGCTCGGATCGTCCACCTGTTTCTCTGAGAAAGAAGGACCTGCCTGTAGCCATGAAGCTGGTGCGTGTTTTCTCCGAAAAAAGAAATCAGTAACGACCGTCGTCTCTCGATGGAGACGAAAAGAGTGTCCGCGCGAACTCTCGACGAGTTTTCGGGATAAGGATCTCTCGGTGAATCTCGCGGTGTGGTGACTCTCCTCGGAAACTTTCGCTCGTTCGGGACTTCAAGGACTACGGAAACGAGTTATCGCGCCGTCGCGTTATCAAGCGGCACGTTATTAAGACCAGTTAGGACCACTAATTTCCCAGAGGAACGCACAAAATAGCTTGAGCATGCATTAGAACTGGCGATTATTATCATCACGGGAGTTTTATCTTTGGCCCCGAAGGAGAAATGTGTCTCACTTCCTATCAATCGTATTAATTCGTCATTCGAACAAATCGTTATTTAAAATTTCCTACTTTTACGTAAGATTCGCGAAAAAAAAATAACTTTACAGTGAAATAGAACAGGAACAGACTATCATAAATTACGATAAAAGTGTAAAAAAAAAACGCTAAGATATTTTATCACAAATAATTACGAATCGTTTGACAAATCATTTCGTTATCTTGTACATTTAGATCATTGCCTTCGCTGCCGTCGTAGCCGTCGCCCTCGCGGCACCCCCTCATCATCAGGACTACAACCAGGTGGTCGTCGTGAAGGAGACGCCGCTGGACAACATCGGCATTGATGGATACCAGTTCGGCTACGAGCTCTCCAGCGGCCAGGCCCATCAGGAGTCTGCCCAACTGGTGAACGCCGGTCAGGAAAACGAGAGCCTCGTCGTTCGTGGTAGCTTCACCTACGTCGACCCGGAGACCAACGTCAGATACACCGTCAACTACGTCGCCGACGAGAACGGATTCCATCCCGAGGGTGCGCATCTGCCGGCCGTCTAGATTTTGACCCGAGTTCTACCTGCAAACCATATATCACATTTTCCGTCCAGTCTCGCGACTACGCTCGAAGAAGTTCAATCTTCTCGATCGTAGCACTCCATACACATGACAATTCTAGCTTTAAATAAATTAAGCCTTATTTAATCCTCGCTGTGTCTAAATTATTCTACGACTTTTTTTATCAACCAACCAACTTCGCTGATGGATAAGTAGTATCCTCGGTGAAACAAGGGTAGGATTCGAATGAACAATTGGTCATTTGATTTAATTTTAATTTATTACAATAGCTTAACAAGACATGTTATACAAGTGATCTGTATTTTTCAATGGAACAATAAAGACATGGCATGATGCTCGAGAATTCAATTAGCACACGATTTATATTATGTAATAAAGTATCTAGATGTAATATACATGTTATCAATATACGATGCTATGTGGAGTAGTAAGTTCTGATAATGAAATAATTTAAACATCCTTGAAACACACAATAATGTGTCCTATTTTCTGCTCTGCTTTCAATCACATCTCATTAAAGAATACGCTCAAAAGCAACAGAAAATAAAACAATGATTTATCATAATTTTATAATTTTCCTGAATTATTTGTCTGTCTCATAATTTAACGTATTTATAGACATTTTGACATTCTATTTCTTTTAAAAATCATAAAAATCACTTGATGAATTATTTAATAAAACAGTCGTTGCATTAATATCAAAGCGAAATTAAAACATATTAAGATTTAATATAATGGCTATTTTATTTCCAAAAAATTTCGTAAACCTAAATTTCATATGCCGTCAAAATATCCATCGCGTTAATGACGATACGTTTCGCAATAAGATGTACTACGAAAGAATTCGGATAGATTAAGTAAGTAGTTTCCCTTGATCGTATCGAAGGTTAAAAATGTTATTTTTACCTTGCTATCATTTTCAAGGCTTTGGCGAGTAACGTTCCTTGAGGGCGGCTAGAAATCTCATCACACGGGTACCGATAGAGATGGCACAACGTTAAAGAGACGGATACCGATAATCGAATTTAATGTTGTCGCTACTTTATAGACCAGAGTCATCTAAATTTATGGGACTGAGGATTGCAAGATTACGTCTCCATAAAGGTTACATCAATAATTAATGATCGGGAATACCTCAAATAGATTTTTGAAGAAAAATGGAATTCCCTCTTGCTTACTTTTGAATTGCAAGAGAATTTTTTAACAAACTCGACAACTATTCCCGGCAGATATATATTTATGCCGTATTTAATTATTGATTATTATTCATATATAAATGCAGTTATATTTTATTAAATAATATATTTAAATAAATTTGTATTTATATATTTAATATACATAATTATGATAATAACAATAAGTTACAACACATATTAATTTTATATTAATATTAATCTATACAGGTAAGTTCCAAATAAGGTTGTCTAATCCTTTTAAAATGGATACGTATATTAATTACGTAGCTAGATTTGTCAACGTTTAAGCTTTTAGTAAATGATAATTACATACCGTTATTGATAAAAATTATTTTGTCAAGACAAAAATTGTGAAATCTATCTGTTAATATAATAGTTATCGAGAGATCGCGTATACGGATTATTTCTAAATCGTCAAGTTTCAAATCGCTCGATTGATGCTCACGAAAAATTCTTACGAAGGTCGAAATCTGGACGAGATGATCGGCGCACGTGTCAATTAGCGGTACAAGAAAGGTGAGAGGTGAATTGGTGTAGACCCAGTCAAATTTTGGCAGTAGGAGAAGCGGTATAAAATCCCGGCTGATTTCGGCTACCCACAACAGTCTTCTTCCGAGAACGAGAGTAGCCTGTACCTTCGTCTTCAACATGAGAACAGTGGGTATATTCGCGGTCTCTCCTCGAATTGGAATTACGACTTAACAGCAAGTTTAACACTTGATCTTCGTGAAGCGCGCAAAATTTATCGCGGATTAATTCGGGAATCGTTATCGTGAGCCACAGAGCATCGAGAAATCCGGTCGAAACCGCTCGCCCTTCCCGCCTGATAACTTCGCCTTTCATCGACGGCCGCGAAAATTAACGAAAATTAAGCTAACTGGCGCAGATCGCGTTATTAATTGGCGTTATTCCCTTTTCCGCTGCAGCTCGTCGCCCTCTGCGCCCTCGTGGCCGTCGCCCTCGCGGCACCCCCTCATCATCAGGACTACAGCCAGGCGGTCGTCGTGAAGGAGACGCCGCTGGACAACATCGGCATCGACGGATACCAGTACGGCTACGAGCTCTCCAACGGCCAGACCCATCAGGAATCCGCCCACCTGCAGAACCCCGGCCAGGAGAACGAGAGCCTCGTCGTCCGCGGTAGCTTCTCCTACGTCGACCCTGAGACCAACGTCAAGTACACCGTCAACTACGTCGCCGACGAGAACGGATTCCATCCCGAGGGTGCGCATCTGCCGAGCGTTTAAATTTACTATAGCCATCAACGAGGTACTAAAGTCGATGTGAAAAACGGCCAACTCTGGATAAATTTTCGTGATCATCGAAGTCGCTCTCGGTGGACCCGAAGAACAATCGAAGAGCACGGGTATCCACGAGCGTTTCAAGTTTCAACCGTCCGATATGAATGTCTACATTATTATAATGCAGTATTAATTTTACAATTTACTATGACGTAGATATGTACTCGCGACGTAATAATAATCGATTTTTATTATCTGCATCTCTATTATCATAAAAAAAAAAACGTAATTTCGCAGCTATACATACAATTAATCGTTGCGTCATATTAAACTCATGATTTATTATTATACAGATGTTTCGTGGATAAACATACTTTCTTGTGACGCAACAATTAATTGTATGTATAGCTGCAAAACTGCGTTTTTTTCATGAAAATACATAACAGAGGTGCATAAAAATTGATTATTATCACGTCGCGGGTACATATCTACGTCATAATAAATTGTAAAATTACTGCATTACGAGCTGACCGTCGAAATTCCATGCAGCCGGTCTTTAAATAATACTTTGTCGACAATGCGAAAATTGTAAGTAGCGCCTCGCAATCATGGATTTAATCATAAATAATTGGACTGCGCAGCTACGTTTGGAAAAAAATTCCAGTGACATCGCGATCACTACGATTCCGTCCTTGTACAAAAGCTCTGTCGATCTCAACTTAATAAGAATCTTATTAAAGACATGCGTGAACGTTATTTCCTTTCCTGGCAATTGGTACGAGAGTATCCAAGAAACTCTGTTGCACACTTTGCATTTGATTTTTTTTCCCCTCTCTCTCTCTCTCTCTTCCCTGTAAAGTCTTTATATATTCTACATCTTGGAAAATATAAAAGAACGCGAGCGTGCGCGAAACGAGTTTGATTCTGCTTGTTTGAATATGTAAAGGATTATTGTACGACATCAATATTGTTGGCTAATATTTCTTCATGGAAATACCGGAACGTGCCGCAACATTTTATCTCGAATTTTTGTATAATTTTCACATCAGTAGTCAAATTTTGCTAAAGTATTCAGAATAATTAAAGAATTATGTCAACGTTACATAATATACAGTGTATACCGATAGAAAACAGGATATGTTAATCAACGTGCTATCAAAAGAGACTTTATGTTCATTTATATTGATTAGCTATTTATATTTATACATCTATTATACATATACATTTTTAAGTGCTTGGTACTGCCATTGTTCACTTTTCAGAACAAATATTTAAGTTATTAATTTAATTTACAGTTTAATACATTTTAATTTGCAATTAAAGTAATAATTTTATTTGCAATTTGTTTACCCCCCCGCAATCGTTTTCTATGTATCTCCAGTTTGCTTGCTATTATTTAAAAACCCTTTTTTTAAATTATTTAATTAACATAATCACGCTCTCTCATAGCAATCAGTCATTTTGCTCAAAGACTATACCAGCAGTATAAATAGAAATAACGAAAATTAGAATGCATCTATTCTCGAAAGGCTGCGGAAACGACAGGTGCACTACAAGAAATTGATTATCTTTTTTTTATTGAAATTCCTTACTCACGTGCTCCTTGAGAATTAGGCGTTTTATCGGAGGCTGTTGTTCACCGCAGTCCGGAATTTCTCGGGCTTCTTATGTTTCTCTCCAATCCGTCTAATTATACATACTTACTTACCTGTTCCATTTTAACTACAGAAAACGTAACACGACTCAGCCACAAAAAAACTCAGAACCTCAGAAGAACGTAATTAGCAAGTGGCGAAAACCGAGCGAATTAAAGTATTTAAATTCAGGAGGGGCGAATTCTCGATATTAGGGTAACACGACGGGGCAGGAGGTAACGCCGACGTCGCCGACCGGATCGGCCATCGGACACCGGGCACCATCTGTCGAGCCTCAGCCGTGGACGTCGTGGTCGCCGATCAACTATCTAATCAGCATGCGAGATTCTGAAAACGCTGAAGTCGATCCCATCATCTAGCGATAATGGAGGATTCACACCGCGTCCAGCGTTCGACCGATAAATCCTCCATAACTGAAGACGTTATAATTAAGAGTCTGGCCATAAGGCGATTTTGTCACAATCTACACATTCAGTACATTCACTATGGTTTTCTCTTTCTTTCTATCTCCTTCTTTGTCTCTTTTCTATCTCTTTCTCTTTTTGTTTCTCTCGTTTTCGACAAAACTGGCTGTCTTATGGTCAGACTTTAATTCGAGGGTCTGTATCCACAACCATACTGGAATGAACACTTGTTAAACGAGGTGAAAAGTGAGAGAATTCACTAGAGTATCCACGATTTCATTGGTCAAAATCTAATGAATTTGTTCACTTTTCGACTCGCATTTTACGTAATAGGCTCCCTGAATTAGAATCTCTAGACATAAGATAATAGGCTTAAGATAATAGGCATAAGTACTATATATACGTATGTTTATGTATATATATTACTAATAATTTATATTTTGTAATTTTTAAATACATAATAAAACACATTGCATTACTGATACAAGACATTAACAATTTTTAACATAGACAAAGTATCAGGAGAACAAAAATTGCTGTGGAAAGATTATGCGCTATTTAAAATTTAAGAATCGCAGAATTCGGGATTTTAAATCATAAAAATTAAAAGTCTTGTAAATGGACAAAGTATTAAGAGAAATAATCGAGATTTTAAATGAGATTTTAAAGTCACATTGTTATAATTAGATCGAATAGAACTAATCGAAAAGAAAAAGCATTAACAATGTTCGATTAACACAACATCGACAGTTAAAAAAAAATTTTTTAGGTTGACAGCATTTTTTGTACAATACATCTACATTTCTGGCATGCTTACATGACCTTCGAACAAAGATACAAACGGTCCTTCGCTGTAGCGAATATAATGATCGCGCCTTATCTTGACAAACGTTCCTTTGTTGTGGCGAATATAATAATAAAATGGTCGATTTACGTCAAATACATCGGAAATTGTTGGGGAACCCCAACCCCCACCCTTCAGTGTTCCTGTGAACAGAATATTTAAAACATCTTTATAAAGGATATGTTCTACTTGACGCTCGCAATGCTCTTAGAATTATTTCATGCCTGCACTTTGTCAAATGCTAAACAAGGAATTGCATAAATCCCCGGTAATGTCGCAGTAGACGTGTATTCTAAGTTTGTTAAAAATGATTTAACGTTGGAGAATGAATATGACAATCCACTTCAGCTTTACATCACTCGCGCAAATTTCTTTTTTAGAGATGAACCGCAGAGATGCAATTTAAGTTCAATTTAAGAAATCTTTAATATGTGCTAAAATATGCTGAAAAATTCCAATCGTTTCTTCGAAATAAGGCTGGGTGATATGAACACAAGCATAGCTGTGCGATCACCATAATGCTTTCATTGCATGAAAGATTTAAATCAAATATTGAGCTGTCATCAAGCGTCAATAGTCGCGACACTGACACGCTCTATTTATCATAAAATTTTAATTACAAGATTTTTTGATTGTAATATCAAGTTCAAAAAACATAAATATCAATACGTATTATTGCATACGATTGCCGTTGTCTGACGGAGGTAATAACAAAATAGATGCAACGTGAGTAACAGGTGCACAACCAAACAAACTGCGGTGCGGCGTGTGATGAAGCGTGTATTAACAATGCAACAGATGTTCGCAAAAGATATAAAGGCAAAAAAAAAACAAACAGAGAAGATAAAAAGATATAAAAGGTATATTATTGTGCAGAGCAGCAAATCTGTTCGATATAAGAAGCACGTGACCAACATTTAACTATCACACTCAGCTTACGGCAAATTACGGCAGCGTACAAATTCACATACATCCGTGCCGCGGAAACTCCGAGAACAAGAAATTTGGAACTTTGCAATCCAATTAATATAATAACGTTAAAATAACGTCACATGCACAGGCGTAATCAAATCGTCTCCGAAATAATTTCTCAGAGTTTCTCAGAAGCGAAAAAGAATCTCGATGTATCCCAAATAAAATTAGGTGAAATATCATCTTGCTTTTGATATGAAATTAATTGCGAAATTGATATCAAATTAAATTATTGCTTATCGTACTTTACTATTTATCGTACTATTATTACTTTTCTCTCTTGTACTATCTCGATTATCAATTACGTCATTGAGTATTACGTGTTATAATTTTCTTCCAAAGACATAAATAATAAATTCTATATAAATTTAAAGCAACAAAAGATAAAATAGATAATAAAAAGCGAAATAGAAATATAGAGTATTCAAAGGAAATTATTTGACTTGCACATTGTATTTGAAAATTATTCATATTCGGAACTCCAAGATGATATTTCATCTGTCTTTGGTTACAAATGCAACGAACGAAGCAAGGTGTACTTACCAATGACGGCGACCGCCTCGCTACCCTCTTCATTAACTTCGATGAAAGCTTTTTGGAAGACTTTGTTGATCTTCAACGGCATATCCGAAATGCCACCAAATTCAGCGCTGTTGCTGAACGGTTTATCGAGATCCATCTATAACAAGTAGGATACGAGTAAGATACGACGTCGCATTTATTTTGCTTGATTATCGACGAAACATTGCGGCGTACCTTCTGAGACAACGTATCTCCAAGATTCAATGTGGACACGATCTTGAACTTGGGCAGGAACACTCGGACCTCATGTTCGTACGTTTCGGCGAGGCGGATGCTACATTCCGCGCTAACTTCCTCGAGTTTGTCGATCAGCGCAGCTAGACCGTCAATTTTATTGGGTAGGATAATCACCATGCTGACGTCTTCATTCTGCGACAATAAAGATTACATCCATAAAAAGAGATGATTCGTAAAGGCCCGAAATAAACACTTGTGATGAAAAGCGGCAAAATATCTCAAACGTTTCATTAGATTTCTTTCGAAAATTTGAGAAAGCAACATACCGCGTACGGCAGCTCGATGCATTTAGCGTCGTATTCCGGCAATTCGGCGTGCTTGTAGTCGCCTATTCTGTGCATAGTAGGAACTTTTCTTACGGTGTTGGCGTCAATGTGGAATGGACGGTCCGTGGTAGCCTTAGGATCAAACACTTGGCCCCATTTGCCCTTGAAGTACACCGCGTTTGCGAGTATCAGTGCAGGCTCAGTATTAGGATCCACGTCGGCTACAATAAATAATAAAAGTTAGCATGAACATTATTTTTAATTCGGTTCAGTAAATCAGTAAATTTTTATATAACTATAATATGAATATATATATACAAATATATTATCCACAGAAAGCAAAAGTATCTAGGCGTTTTATTATTTTGTTCTTCGTAATTTAATTGTTTTACGTTATTTGTGCAATTTATTTGTGCAAAATAGAAAATCACATTTTTGATCGGCATAGAATTGCATAGTGAACGCGTATGTATGAACATAGGTGGATCGTTCTTTACCGGGACTAATAATGCTGTCGATGCGATTGTTGGTTTTCTCCTTGCACCAGGTGTTAACGATGTTCGCGACTTCGTCGCCTTTAGCGAAGTCTACCGACTGGATGCTGGAACGATAGTATGTCTTGAGATTCTGTTTATACCCAGGTTTCACTGGAAAACTTTTGTCGATAAATATCTTGTTAGCGAGCTTCAAAGTGACATTCTCAACATTCTGAAAGAACAACATTTCATCTTCGATTAGTACTATTCTACGAGTGTCATCAAATATACCACAAAACAATATATAACTAAAACTAATACAACAGATAATTAATTTATAATGTAATTTAATAATTATATATGGAATATTTGTAATCTCTCCACAAATATCATACTATTATATAAATAAATATCATATTTTATAAATAATACTTTATAATTCTCTAAATTTGATAGTCCAAAAAAGTAATATTTACATTCTATAAATATTATTCTACATTTTATCAAGTTTTGAAGATTTACATTCTGTAAATGGCTTATTGTGCAAATATTACGTTTCACAATATATTGCAGTTTGATAATTACATTCAATTTATCAATGAGATTCTGGTAACCTTCCCGAGTCTGTGATTTCGTAGCTGGAAGCTTAAGAACATCTTTAAACTGTGCCTCGGTAGTTCCGACAGCGCCGTCAGCAGCCATGCTCAGAGCGATGTTGGCGCTCAGGGAAGAGCATATCAAATTGCCTGGTGCTTCTTTTGCAACATTCTGAAAAAAGAACATTTTCAAATTAACTATACGAAAGCTTCATTCATTACGAACATCAGTATATCAGAAAATAATCAAATTGATTTGAGAATTAGGTGTTTCTTTATTATTTTAATGCCGGCGTCAAGTCATGCACCGACATGGTGCTATGTATAATATAGTACCTATATAAAAATTAGTCGTATAGATTTTGCTAAAGCTGTTTTCTCATAATTGTTGATATATGATATTACATTAATAAATAAATCAGAGCCTAATAGAACTTCAAGAATATTTAAATTCAATTAACATACCTTGACAAAGTCGATAGAGAACAAATGAGCACCCTGAGAAACAGCCTGAATGGCCGAATTTTTTCCAGTTGGTGTGGCCATTGTTGATGCAAACAGGCAAAATGCCAAGAAAGTTCTTTGTACTGTAAAGTAACACCCGGTCCCCGGTCCCGCAGTTCAGGTTACTGACGAAGGGAACAAGGATGGCGATTCAGGATGTGAGGGTGAAGAAGGATAACTCGGGTTTATACGCAACGGTCTTTATTGCTCAGAGACACGCGGGGAACGTCCGCGTGGCTCGGTGATCAGACAAAAACTGCCCCGTCTCGGGGTTTGAACAGGGTGTGTCTACCGCGCACAACTCACTCGACCAATCACAGCTCAGGCTGCGTTCGGATTGTTCGGAAGCGTCACTCGGGTGTGCTCCCTTCTCCTTCTAACTTGCTGAGATAGAAGAAGAGGGTGCGTGCTCGTGTGCGCTCGGGTGATGTTTCTGCACGCAACCTTGCGTAAACAAATGCACCCTATGTGCACGAGCGCCTCGCAGGCGAACGCGGGAAATTTGAACGCGACCTATGGTCGTCAGTCGACGTTTATAATAAATATTTATAAACGTCAGTCGACGTTTACAGTACTGTAATAACAAAAAGATTCAATAGTCATCGCAAAATTCAGTACAGCCGTCAATAATAGTCAAGACGCATAATAAAAAAAACAAAAAGTTACAAGATTATTTCTACTGGATTAATTCTAATATTAAAGAAGTTGAAGCAGTTTGGTCTAGAGACCGCTGTGGTCAATCGCCGTGGTCAAACGGGACGCTCCCTTCTGCTTACCACTCTTACCAGCGGTTGACGTTGACAGTTGACACGTCGCGTCGTAACCGTGTCCGTCGCGTTGCTCCGTCGCGTTTAGCGATGACGCTCAATTGCGATTCCTAACCTTGGCGCGGCACGTTCATCGGTGCGGGACGGAGCGCGCGAGTGCGTGACCGCGAGCCCGACTCCGGACGATCCCGGTCGTTCCGCCGCTGCGCGCGAACGGCGCCGACGTATCGTTCTTCCGTGACAGCGGGAGGTTAGGAGGCCTCCGTTCCCCGCGAGCGACACGTCGTCCTCTCTCCCGTGGTCTCCTCTTTCCTCGCTCCTCCCGCGAGGCTCGGACACGCGTCCGGCTTGCTCGCGGCTCGAGGAAGCGCGGCCGACGAGGCTCGGGCATTGAGCCCGGGTGACGCGATGACCAGGTTGACTCGCCGCGGTCTCTGATGCCCCAGGAAATTCAGGCAATGGCGAAATTCAGGATGCTGCCGCGCACGTCGCGCATCGTCGCCCTCTGCTCGGCCGCGAACTTCATAAACGCCGCCGACAGGGTCATCATGCCCATCGCCATCGTCCTGATGACCGACGAGTTCAAGTGGAGTCTGTACTGGCAGGGATGGATACTGTCCGCGTTCGCTTTTGGATACTTCACTAGTCAGGTAAGACGATCTGTGCGCTTTTCGTGTCACCGCTGATGATCCACAATGCGTCGTTTTCTCCCTCAAGATCATTGGCGCGAGTACGGCGAGTCGTTTCGGCTGCAAGACGGTGCTCATGCTGGCGGTGCTGTTGTGGTCCATTAGCACGGTCATCACGCCGTTCCTGGCGCAGTCGGTGCCCCTACTCATACTCTGCAGGGTGGTTCTGGGACTCGGAGAAGGATTAGGTGAGAAGGAGGAGGAAACGAAACAGTCGAAGCAGACGTGACAATATATTCCGAGTTAATGTGGCATTGTTTCGCAGGCCTACCCGTGATATTTCATTTATTCGCACATAATGTTCCTGTGGAAGAGAGATCGCGCGCTTTTGGTTACCTGGTAGCTGCTGGTTCCGTTGGCCAAGTGGTCGCGTCTGTTGTAAGATTGATCGTACTCTCAATGCGCAATTAAATCGCGAAGAAAGATTACATTTTTATAAATTGTCTTTCCTTTCGTTAGATATGCCCGCGCTTGCCATGGCAAACTGGATTTTACTTGTTCGGGACAATAGGTATCGCATGGACCGTGTTGTGGCTGATGCTGTATCAGGAAACCAACTCTCAAGATGAGATACCGTTATTTGTTCCTAAAGTAAACCTCTCTCTGGCATTTAATTTACGTTTAATTGTATTCTTGGTATTAACTTTATGATTGATCGACAGGTAGCTCAGAATAGAAGCTTGCGTTGGACCGAGTTCATTGCTCATTGGCCCCTGTGGGCTTTGTACATAGCGCACTTTGCAATGAACTGGAGCAATTATATAATAATGCAGTGGCTGCCAACTTATTTGGCAAGAAACTTGTCTGCGAACAAGGAGAGTATTAGTTTCACAGCTGTCCCTTATATTGTTAATTCTCTCATTGGCATTGGTAGGTACATAATTATATATTTCAACCTTGTTTTAAATATTTTATAAATTTTTGTAATATTTCCTTTATTTCCTTTCGCAGTTGCCGGTCACAGCGCTGACACTTTAATACAAAAAAGATGGTCTGTTTTATCTGTTAGAAGATTGATGACAAATATAGGCCTAATAGGACCAGGTGCTTTTCTATTAGCTTTCTGTGCTGTAGATAATCTGCTTGCTGCAGTCATGTATGTACAATTATTAAGTTATTTTATATTGCTGGGCTTTTGTTCTGGATATATATAGATATACATATATGTGTAAATTATTATCTTACAGCTTTGTTTCAATATCCATGGGCCTCTGCGCGTGCAACTCTGCCGGACATTTAAGTAATCATGCGGATATAGCTCCGAATCATGCGGGAATTACATTTGCCGTTTCAAATACAATTGTACGTATTTTTTTCCTACCTAATTCGATACCAAGTCAATCGTCGCAGAGTTGTCCACATTATCAGTGTCGTGTATGTCTTGGTTTTCAGGCGACAGTACCTGGAATTCTCTGTGGACCATTGACAGCCGAATTAGTGACTGCCTCGCACGGTTGGTGGATGCCGGTTTTCGTGCTGGCGGCAGCGATTAATTTTACCGGGGCTATAATATACCAAAGCCACAGTTCGGCGCTTCCAGTGTTGTGATATGCTCTGTCTCTCATCCAACGATTCTTTTGTTACCGAGGAGGAAATGATCAAGTGTTTGTTGAGGACTGTGCGAAGATATCTGTTTGACCTGAAATCACTGTGAATGATTCTCGATGAAGTAGCTGTGAACGTTTACAAGAATGTTGGTGTGATGCGTCATCGCGTATCGGCCAGTCGAAGACATATCATAACGCTTTATTTATACATATACATTAAGTAAATTTTTATTACTTCTTTTGAAGCAGCAAAGTGTGGATTTGATTGATAGTGCCATAATTTGACGGACGGAACGGAACTGGTTTGAAGAAACTAATTGAGAAACGTAAGACACACATTTATGAGATTCATCATATAATTAATTTATATATGTATTGTATCACTCAAGAATTAACGGAAAACATTTTGTGATATGTTCTAATAAAAGTTGAAAATTTTAATTATACGGTTAAAATATAAAATGCATATTCTATGCAAACGTAAGATTGTACATAAAAAAAAATTTTAACTTTCACATTTATATTTTTTAGAGCATCTTAGCATACAGGGGGGAGACGATCTATTCGCGTTGTGAGAACCAAGAAAGTAAGAACAAGACTTACGAAATATGATGATGAATTTCAAACCATTTAAAATATAATAATTTAGAAATGTTTAAGAATAAAAGTATATATTAATGATATTTCTGTCATACAACGGATATTACACGGATTATAAAGATAAGTCCTTTCTCAGGTATTCCGACTGCAGTATTTGCGACAGCGTATCTCTCGATAAATTTTTGTTTAATCCCATTTCAATAAAGGCGTTATCTTGGCAGTTTGTCACGCTCGACTGTGTCCGAGTATCGAAAGCTCTCGCGTCGATCGCTTTCGTCAATCGTGTATCGTTGTTACCACGAATTCTTCTATTTTCTCGGATAGTATCAACGGACGTCACTTGCGTGACTGTGGTTGCAGTATTTGAGCAAGAACGATCTTTGTCATTTTCGCTTGGGTAATCGTCCGAATCGTAGCCGTCGCTGCGTCTTTTGAAATTTTCATAAAACAGGTGTGATCCGATATTGTGACACGCTAGAATATCCGCGATATCGCTTGTTGATGGTTTCATATCTAGAGGATAACGCTCTTCCTCCACGATACCGTGTGATTTATAAATATCGTTGCAGTTATAACGTTGCAGTAATTCCTCGATGGAAGATTTTATTCTCGCCCTCGTCTTGGTGCCGTCTGCAAACGTTGGCTTCGCTATATCTGTAACAGCAGCTGCATCTCGCTTTTTATTGCAGGTATCCGATGGAATTGTGTGAACTGATCTAGCATCATTGGCGATATCGTGTTTATTCGCGTCAGTGTGTACAGATCGCTTTTTCGTGGTGTATTTCGAAAGTAAATTCTTACGCGGCTGTTTATCCGTCAAAATATTTTCCGCAGCTTCGTCAAATCGCACCCTTGCCATATCCTTACCAATTATTTCGCTATCGACGTTTCTCGGACGAGAGACCGCCGATTTGGTTCTGACTTTTCTGTCGGGAAAGATTACGCTTCTCAGAATTTCGGCTTTTTCCTGTAAACTCGGCTTGCTACTCGTTCTGGGGACGTTATTCGCGCTTTTGCGCAAATAACGGTTTGCCTTGGGATCCGCGAAACTTTTCTGAACTCTGTCTATCTCGCACGTCATCTTCTCTAACGTTTCGTACAATTTTTTCGTTCGGGCATTGTCAATGCGATCTTTGCCTTTCGCCCAGTAGTTTTCCTCTCGTAACATTTGCCATGCAGACTTCACGTTTTCCACTTCGCGATCTATATCGCCTCGCTCGTCTAAAACGATACAAGTGCGATTTTAGAGTTTGTAATCCGACGTAATAAATAACAGGCGTTAAAAGAAAATTAAAGAGCGAACGGAGTTAATCAGTGAAGGTCAGTAAATAATTTACACTCTTTGTCAATTTGTTTGTTTAGCGTCCTCGTCGGATCCTCCTTGCCAAGTATCGGGAGGCAAGTATTTTTGGTTGGGGAAGAATTCAATGCGTACGAATCTGGATCAACTGCCGCGAAATCGGTACGCGAGTTCAATTCCGGCAAGACGGCGGACGACTTCCGTTTCGGGAGGTCCGCGGATTTGCTGAGTGACGTGGTATCTACATATAATAAATGAATATTAACATAGGCAAAAAATATAGGATGTCTTGGACCAGTTTTATATATCTTGTTAATTAATATCGAGATAATATTTCGCCTGTGTTTCTACCAAGCATATTTCGAAACGTGTAATTTAGAAAGTCCAGTGGAACAATCAGTAGTGCAACGCAACTTAATTAACTCCACACCTGTCTTAAAATGCGGCAATGTTCGTTCAGAGTTATTCGTACAATGCCACGAATGAGTCTGCGACGTTAACGGACGTGACTGTTCGGCATTGGCGAACGGATTAAATTCATAGACGAAATTACTCGTCGCTGGAATTCTTTTTACGGCATTTACGTGCGACTTTTTCCCCTGCTTCGTTATGTTTTCCGCTATCTGTCTCGGAATTTATTATTCAATTAGCATTAGCAATTTCGTAACCGGCATTCTCGAAATAATTCAGAAAAGACTTTATTGTAACAGTGCAAATCGCGTATTTCTTGATTAAGAGATATTTATAATTGTATGTCGTTTAGGACCTCAATGTATTCAAATGAAAACTCTTGGCTATAACAGACGTACGATATCGCGTTTTGCTTTAGCTCCCAGGATGTCTTTGTTAGAAGATTTCGGTTCAGCTTTATTCGAGACGGTATCGATTTGTGACTTTCGGCTGCCTTTCAATCTATTAAACTGATTCCGCGAAAACTGTGGTAGTTTCTCGCCATCGGCTTTAGCAAGGCACGTTCTGCATAGATTTAAACATCTTAGGTACATAAAAGCCAACGTGCATTACTTCGCTTACGAAGTACAAGATAAAAAAATGTTTACTTTGCATAAGCATCCATGCAAATATATTCCTCCGAGCACCGTTTATTTCCATCCTTGTCCGACGGAAAACCGTCAACATCAGCCGTTCTTTTAGTCTTCCTTCGGCGCGACTTTTTAATAATACTGCAAATTAATTCATAACGTAATTATGCATATGTTTAAACGTACGCGAACTCTTTCGCCTACTTGGTTCCGGAAAGAGCAGCTAATTTGCCATTCGGTTTGTTCACATTCTCTGACAATGCCTTCTCCTGCTCTTCTCGTTCCGTTTTCTCCACGAAAACAGACAGGGCATTAATTCTATTATACTCCTCGCAATTTTGTGTCTTGTTACGGACAGTGCTTAGATTCGTCGCGGCGAAGGGGGATAACACATAATGAGAATATGAAACGATTCGCTTTGATCCTCGCTGATTTTGAAATCGATGTGTCTTTTTCGAGTTTTCTCTTTTAGATTGTACTTCTCGAAACTATATGGTCCACCTTTCAGACAGACCAAAATTATTTCTATATATATATGTATATTTATAGCAAATTAAAAGTCGAGCAACGCTTGGGCGAAAATGAAAAAACCGCGTTGTGCATTGACAATAACCTTCCCAACTTTATGGTTGGTCATAAAAAAAAATATCGGAATCGATATTCCGATTTAATAAAAGAAAACCGCTGAAATTTTATGGATGGAGCGAATCTACATTCATTCGTTTGATGAAAAGAACAAAAGGCTCTCTTTGCAGCTTTATTTATCAGTCTTTATTCGTATAACTAATCGACAGATCAAAATATATTTATTTTTAAATATATATATATTATATATTAAAGATATATTAACGATACAGAGCTACACGCTCGTGTGCCGAGCGTTCCTCGTAAATTTATCACTGATATAATTCGAGACACAAGGAGAATCCTGCGTTTTCTTATTCGAATCAATATTAAATGCCATGCATTCGAATCGTGAGTTGCGTAAGCTAAAATCAAGTCCAGCTTGATTCTTTTGTGCGGGTTCCTTTATTCCGTTGCGTAGGAAAGAGCACCGAGCATAAGCGGTAAAACACATTGCGCGACATATTGCGTACGATTTTCTATCAAACGCATCCACCTCGTCCTTAGAAATCTCTCTTACAATTAATCCTCGACGTTCTCGAAGGAGAACGCGCACAACCGTCCGACAAGCGAGAGACTCGGTTCCCCGGATTATTATACAGAGGATGCATTCGTGTCTACGAGCTTGCGAGCTTGCTTCTAAAACAGCGATCACTCGGACACGCGGTGGCGGAAGAAATAACGAAAAAGTACGAAGGAAGAATCAAGCTGAAACGGGGACGTAAAGGGAACTGTAACGTAAAGGGAACTGAGGCAAGGGAGAGAGAAAGGATACTATCGGTTCTTTCGCTGATTTTTGTTTCTTTTCGCGAAAATTAGAAAATTTTGAGAAGGCTCACGATGCCGCAAACAGTGCACATAACTCGTCCAGAAATCTCGGTTCTGATCCACTGAGAATTGTATTAAATGCAATAGCAATACATCGCGAGAAGTCTTTATAGAATTTTTCAAATTGTAGGAAGTAAATAACGCGTGAGTAAGCATGTGCATATGACATTCGAGTTATCTAGAAATACAAATGATCTAAATGCACCGAAGTAAAATTGAGATAAGTTTTAATAAAAGTCTTCATATTTTTTTTTGGACTTATACGAAGTACATTTAATTTGGAAACTCTTACGCCACCGCGTGTCTGCTCTCTTGGTCGGCTCGTGAAAAATCTACATTTTCATTTGAATAACTTTCACTCGAAAATAAAATCATCAACTTTATATAAAACAGCACTGTACATTAACGAACGTAGCACCGTTTCCAGCATCTCGCACATCGCCTCTTTATGCCATATGAAACGAATGAATTGAAAGAATTCGTGAGACACTTATTGCGCGAAATTTTAATCTCCCGGTCCCTCGAAATCGGAAACCGCCTCAAAAAATTTTTAGAATGTTTTCCTCTGGTTTCACCGTTGCAAACACTTCTCTTGGTTCACGTCAACTCTAACAGAGAAGTTGACCGTCCTAATTAGATTCTTCCGTCTCAGAATCGCAATGAATGGACGAAGATAGGATAGGAGGGAAAGAATTCAGTGCAGTTCGAAAACCAATTTCCAATTACGGGGATTGGGAGATCGTATAATAGCGCAAAACGGATTCCTGACGTTTCCTTCGAATTCACTCCTTTCTTCTTAGACCTTTTAGTCTATAAAGTGTGCTACATAATAAAATTGATCATCGATCCTCTCTCCCTTTTTACGTCCACATCCGCGAGGTCGCGGGCGACTATTCTATCCTATATATAGCGTCTTCCGGACTACTAATTCTGCTGCTTGCTGGCCTCGTGAGGCAGCACGACGCGCTTGGTGAGACCCGGTGGCGCGTCGTAGCTCTGGGAGCCATGATCGTCGCCGCGATCCAGGGACGACATCAGGCTCCTCGACGGGCTCGGCGAGATCAGGCATTCGTGGATGAAGCCGCACACGGTGTTCACGTAGACGTCGCGGTAGGTCGTGTAGTGCTTGACGTGCGGCGAATTAGTGAACAGGACGAGCTGGACCCGCACACCCCGCTCGGCCCGCCGGCTGGCGAACTTCTCGACGTCCTGACGTCGAGACAGAAGCTCATGAATCTCTCTTACAATAGATTCCTCTTATTGCGTCTAAGATAGTTGACAATTAATAATGATGATATACACTGAATTATTAATCATAAATATAATAACTCTAAGTATCCTCTTTTCTATACATGTCTTTTCTCTTTTCCTTTTATTGAAAGAATTATTTGTGTACCAAGAGTCATTTGAAAATCCAACTTATCGCTGCAGAATTAGCGTTAAAAAAAAAAATGGAAACTCACGGACGCCGGGATCAGAGTGTCGCTGTTGGAGTACAGAAACAGCTGAGGCCAGGAATAGGCTTCCTCGGCGAGGGCGATCGGGTTCGTTTGAATAGGCGCTCTGCTGAAAGCCTGCGCAATTACCTGACGATCATAAATCGACGTATAAACTGTACGACGTCGGTACAGCTTTGAAATGATCGAATCTATGAACATGACATGGTTCACCGTCCTGACTCCTGCTGACCAAACGTCTCGTTGCGACGAGATCGTGTCGCGTACGGAAATTAATGAAGATTACGATCGTTTCATGCCGGGTAATGTTCGTGAGACAATGGGTATCGCAGGATGTCAACATGCTGTTCGTTTACCTCGAAGAACCAGAGTACGGAGAGGAAGAACGTGATGACGAACGACATCGGCAGATTCGTGAGGGGATGACCGCCGATAATCGCGCTGATCGCCTTGAAAAGCGCCGTTAATCTCCTCTCGCCGGGCGCGCTGTCGAATATCACTCCCCTGACCTGCGATTTCAATTAAGAATTCTCACATGTCGACAGCAAGCAAAAGAATATTTTCTATAGCTTGAAATGTTATACATTCTATGTATAACTTTATACGTCATGTATTTTAATGTTTGCGTCAAGAATATAGAATTTCTAATTTTACACACGTGTCTACATTTTGCAGGGGCGAGCATTTTTCATTCTTTTTCTATCTAATATTCTATTTATAAAATTATAAATAAAATTTTATTCTAAAAATCTAGATCTCTATTTCTAAATTATATTATGTATAATTTTATACGTCGTGTATACTTTGAGATGTGATTATAAACAGTGCTATTCCCGACACGACGAATTGTGTACATCGTCCGGAGGCGAATTTTGCGCAGAGGGACGCAACGATCGACGTTCGTCCACCCGGGGTCTACCTTGAATGGCGTGTTAGCCCTCTGCATCGCGAGGCTGACGTGCTGATACAGGAACGCGCCGCCGTTACTGAAGACGTGGAAGAATATCGGGTGCTCGTCCAGCCGCTTGTCCGTGATCACCTGCAGCAGCCGCTTGCCGATGTAAGGCATCTTGTCCCGGCGCCAGAACAGGCACTCCACCGGCGCCGTGTAGCGCAGCGTGATGCAGCTGCGAGGAAGCAACCGCGGACGGGATTAACGACCAACTATAGGGATTAACTGTTACAAGCGCGAATTTATTGCTTTGACACGCGTCGTTTACATTCAACAAAAATGGAGCGCTACGGCTGCATTTCCGCAATCTCCACGAACATCTTTGATCCCGCGATAGGCAACATAAAGTTGTAAATAGAATATCGAGTGCTCGCGACTCGTCGCGTCGCGTGTAAGTAGTCGGTGCAAGACACCACCGTGCCTCTTGAGATTTCGTTCCAAATTCCGTCATGTAAGCAGTATATTAATTATAATGAATCATCTAAAGTATTGCGTAAGGACTGCTACTTCGTAGCGCCACGACGAGTCGAGATGTGTCGAGACACATCTCCGTTCTTTCGTAAAATCATTCTCGCGGATTCTATAGGCCATTTGTGAAATGCGCATCCGGTGCACGCGCGAGGGTACTTGGAGAACGTCTGATTCCGGTCGGAATCGTGACGTTTCTCAGCACCAGGATTTTCGACCTTCCGAGGGAATGAAACGCGCGTCGGCTCGATCGCCACACGCGGCGATCAGCGGCGCGGAATACCTCTTCTCCTCGTAGATCGAGCTGTATTTGGCCAGGTAACGGTCCTGACAGCCGGCCCATCCCAGCAGGATCACGACCGGCCGCTTGTCCTCCTCGTACACAAACACGAACTCCTCCCGCTGATCCTGCCCGGCCGCGGTCAGCGTCGGGTCCTTCGGGGACGGCGGGAACGACGGGAACATGATGTAATAATCCAGATCCTCCTGGTCGCTCATCTCGCCCGATTGCCGCTTGCCGTGCCTCCTGATCACGACGAAGAAAGCCGTAAATGAGACTGAGATAGTTCCGATAGACAGAGGACAAATGGGAGCCCGGAGAGGGTGCGCTGTCGGGGGTGAAAGGGCCGAGGGGGTGATGCGGTTCGCCGGGCATGTGAACTAGCTTCGCCGGGAGGGCAACTTGTACTCGGCTACTCGGCTTAAACAGCTCGGAGCTTGCGTCGTTCGAAACGCGCGAACGCGCCGGGGGATCGATATCCGAGAGGGAGTTTCAGGAGCTAGGTCGAGTCGGCGGCGAGGACGACGGCGCATGTGGCATGTGGACGTCCAAAGCCAGCGACGTCCAGTCGCGGATGCATACGCGGAAGTGCGTACGCGAGAGCGCGGGACCGTCACCCCCTCCCGGGATTTTGCGAGGGAAGGATCGCGGTTTCTTATCTTGCAAACGCGTGTCATTCTCGATTCGAGATATACAAAAATAACGCAATAATTTATTTTTAGGTAAATAAATCGGGAAGAATTAATATATATAGGAAATTCCGAAATGAGACGGATTTTTTCTAGATTTTATTGGAGTCGCGCTTGCATTTTCCACAATTTTCCCCGCCCTTCGCAATTATCTGGCTTTTTAATGTTCAATTCTATCAATGCGGATTAATTTTAATATTTCGGTTCAACTTATACTTTTTATCTATCTTTTCTTGGTTCTGAAAATTATAAACATAGCACGGAAGGGAACCGCAAAATCCGTGCGCGTTACCCGCGTTGACGGGATTCGGTAACAGCTGTAACGCGCGGGCTCATCCTTTCTCTCATCTGCTTCTTCTGGATCTCAAGCGAGTGGCGCCTACCGCGGATGGCACGCGAAGCCGTAGAACGAGTCGTCGTCGAGCAGGCGCCTCGCTGGACCGTTCGCGCAGCATCCGAGAGCTGCGCGGGACCAAATTGAAGCGGGCGTGAGAAAGAGGTAGAGCGCGAGGTGGGCGGCAGGGAAGGGGCGGGAGCGCGTTTCGAAACTCGAAATCTAACGAGGAGGGTACACTCAGAGCCACGCGAGCGGCCGCGCGACACGGTACGAGTGTGTATATTCGGATGCCGGGGTGAACGACGTCCGCGTTATGTGCATCGAGAAACGTGCGAGCCACGCGAGGCTCGCCTGTGCCGTCCTGTTTCTCGTGGCGATTGCTCTGCCGCTCGGTGAGTGCGATTTTTATTCTGCTTTTTCTTTTTTCAATTCTAGACCAATGGGAAGATACTCCAGAATTTATTTTCTTGGAGAAATATTTCCCGAATATCGGGGACATCGTTTATCATTATTCGCAGACAGGACGCTCGGTCAAATTTTTATTTTATATCAGTATAACTTGGTATAATAATAACGTATTTCTATGATAAATGTATAATTGGTACGGATATTTGATATTTATTGGACATTCTTTGCGCGCAATATTTTATATCGTTATTAATCTGTAAAATAAAATTCCTGCAATGAACAGTTATTAAATTCAATAACTTTTAACTATATACGTATATGCAAAAATCGTTTATAATCATAAATACTTTTAACTGTATTATTGAATGAAATTATTAATTCTGTCTCTTTTAGTAATAATTAGCTAAATTGTTATCATTACTCAAATGTAAATTACTCAAATTTCTATAATTCTATGAATTATGTTAATCAAGAACATATATATTAATATACAATAGTTATAATTATATACATTATGTTGTTCAATAAATATGGTTCTTTTAAAGATTAGCCGATATATATAGAATTAATGAAATATAACGATTGACTGGGTCGTCCAGTTTTTATTACGAATGGTAATCAATTCAGTGATCAATCTTCAAAGAATGCAAGATGATTCAATCTTGAGGACGTCAGCCTGTGTCTGCGTTTTAATTTATATGGCGTGCCTGAAGAATAGAGAATAAAAAAAAAAAGAAATAAAAAAAGAAATACGTCCGAGATAAAGCTTAAAAAACCGAGACGAGACGTTTGCCTCGTAATTTAAGGAGAGGTGGGGAGCCATGAATAAAGAACGTTTAAGAGACTGTAATAATATGCAAATTTTTGTCTCATGGTTTTTAAAACCGCGTTACGAATTCCCGTCCAGAATTAGCCGGCTGAGATTCCACCTCTAATTGCTTTATCTCGCGTCGCGTGCATCTTGCAGAAAACACGCGGAGAATTATCGTGCAATTCGGTTTGTCCGCTAATCGAAAATCGTCGCGTCGCGTCGCGCGCGCGGAGCAGTAGTACGAGTCAGCGATAAATCGTACATTCTAAAGGACGACGAATTGTTTTCGGGAAGCGTTAAAGCAAGACCTCTCTCTCGGGCTCTCTCGCGCGGGATGGAGAAGAACGACGTAATGGGGCGGCTATTTTAACGTTAAATCCCTTTGTTACTTTTTGTTCTTCAAAGCGCGAAGAATATGCCTCCCGCGTCGCGGTCACCCGCGTCTTCTCCGCCCCGCGCTCCGCGGCGAAATGGAGAAGAACGGCGTAATAGAGGCGGGGGCTATCTTACATTAAATCCTTTTCGTATTTTCGTTCCTTAAAGCGCGAGGAATATGCCTTTTATACCACACCACCTTCCGCCCGATGGCTCATATCTTAAAAGTGAAAAATAGTCCACTACATCTCCGGGAGAAATTTCCTCGCTGTCGCGCGACAGGAGAAACTCCATTTCCAACCTCGGCTTCCCGTCTCCGTAGAGTCTCGCGAGCGGAGAGCGACTTGAGGCGCGGTCTGTTAATTTTCACGATGCATTGTGGACCGTGCAATCACAATGAAATGCCAGCCCGAGCTCTCCCCCCCCCCCCCAGGCCCCAGCGTCTTTTCTATAGCGTGATGTAATTAGTTTTGCCGTTGGACGCGTATTAGCAGATTTACGAATTAACATTAAGTGGATTTCCCCCCTCTCGCTCTTTCTCTTTCTCTTTTACTGGCTCTCCACGTATGTGATCCATTTAAGCAATGAAAAAACAATGAGCGCCGGGCAATCTAACTTCACCACTTAACTCGTTTACGATTTATGCGGTTGTTCGCGCGGTTGGTACATTTGCACGTAATTACGTCGTTGCATATTCTCCGCGCGGAACAGGATTAACAAAATGGCGCAAGATTTACCGGGGGATGAAACGCGTGCATGCTGTTTCTACTGTGCACTTTTTTTACTCATTTTTGCCGTGCTCCGCTTACGGCTTAAATGGAGTAATATCGTTTATGAATATCGCAGGAACGTTGCATAAAACTTGGAAACGCATTCGAGAAGGAACTAAATATTTAGAGAGCGCGGTCGAAGCGCACCTGCATATTTCGTGTTGCTCGAAAAATATATTCGCGTGACAGCTGTTACGTGTTATTGCTCGATTAAAATTATAATAATCGCATAAATGTGAAGAAACGGAAAATACACTCTTTGTGTAATTCATAATCATTTCCATTAATAACACTCTCGCGCAGGATCTATAATTCACAGTTATGACGTAACATAATCTCCTCGTATAATCGGTTTTTCTCATATACTCGTCTCCGTAGGCAGCCGTCAAACGCTCAATGAATTATTCCGCCGAAGGGGGGCGAGCTTAGTGCATAATGTGGAATAATTATGGGAAGCGCGCCGCGCCGTTTTTCATCGATCGCCGGGAATATTCTTCGGAGAGGGATTATTTATCCTTTTACCTTTTAGGTAAAGAGGGAAAGGGAGAGAGGGTGAGGGTGAGGGTTCTATTGGCCGAGCTCCGGCGCACCGGAAATTCATTTCATTCGATTGGCGATGCAACATTACCGGAGGTAATCTCGTCGTCCCTAGCGTCGTGTGTCGTGAGCGAAAATTGACAAGGGATCAACGAGACGAGGCCACGCTCCGCGCATCAGTGCGATATGAGCTGATGGCGAAATTCCCATCCGTGACGATGTCGAGCTTATCGCAGGTGAACGATAAGCGGTTTGCCAGGTGTTCGCCGGGAAATTCCGAACAGGGCATCAGGCTTTCCCAAAGTCTTCTCTCTCTCTCTCTTGCGTCTCTACAACCGGAACTTATTCAAAGCGCGCCGCGATTATGCGTCTCGATTCGAAATTATTCCTGGCCGTTTCTCCGAGCCACCGGAGCTCGACCGAGATCGCTCAAAAATTGATCGCGTCGCGCGATCCGAAATTCAGATTCGCTTCCCGAAGTATACCTTCCGCGTACCAGACTACTCGAGAGTTCGCAACCGCGCCGGGCCTTTTGGACCGGGCGCGGGCGGTTGGCTCGCGAAAACGCGAATGTAACTTTAAAGGTGATGACCCGTGAATATTACAGACGTGGAATGTCGAGCTAGGAAACGACCGCCGTTGTACTTATACGTGTATGTGTGTGCGAGCGCGACAAATGAAAAATTGCCGGTGCACGGGTGACGGTGTGTGCGCGCGCGCGCGCCGTTCACCGAAATGTACTCATTTATTCAACGTGTACGCTCGTGCGCCAGCATAATGTGTCATACATTATGTTATTCTTGTCGGGGCAATGTGAAAATAAACGTGAAACATTCAAGCGTCCCGATTGCTGATTTAGGCGGGCGCTTGCCGTTAAAGCTTCAAAACCAGCTTTCCCCTAAAACCGCTGTATTTGCAGCGCGGCGCGTGTGAATGCGTAAACACGCGTAAATCGAGAACGTGCCGACATCGCGCATACTTTATGTACTCGCGTTGATTAGTCATAATGATAATGATCAAAAAGCGGCGCGGTTTTACCTTCGATGAAATATATTCTGCGAACGTCGTTTGACCACTGATTGAATTTAATTAAACTTTCGCGACGGAATCACCACGCTCCTGGTCGGTCGCTTATTACGATAGAGAAACGAACGAATTACTCTCTGCTGCCTAAGGCGAAGCTTAGTTGCTCGCTTTAATTGTTTCTAGAGTTGGAACAGTTCTCTTCATTTCGCCTTGGTGCGCGCGCGTGGTGTGTGTATGTATTCTGCTCTTTCATATTTCTAGATTAGATGGTGCGCCGAAAACGATTGAAATAAGACTCCCAAAGGTATAACAATTGCGGATATCGAGCAGAGTATAAATTTATTACAATTTCTCTAAATTGATCAATTCCTAGATATCTTGTAAAATTATTTGTAATTTATATCAGAGAATTCAGAAGTTTTATGTTGTAATATGGAAAACATTTGAATCAGAAATATACACATGCAAAAAATTATATTTAATGATATATATAAAGTTTTTTTATTAATGTATTATAAATCCAATTAATTATAAATCTAATAATATAAATTACATACCCAAATTTAATCTAACGTATATACCTATATATTATTTAGATGTAGACACAAAATCTCTCTGCAAAATAATATCTCCTTCGATGAGATATCTCTCGGGCGGGTACTTGCGTTCGTTAACGATTTCGGATACAGCGATAACAACGGAGAAAGTCGATTATCGCTGGATTATACCAATTGCCACTTGATATCGCCTAGATTAGAGTCGAGGATGCTTCTCTCGACGAGCTTTCTTCGGCAACGCGGCGAGGGAAAATGAGGCGGCCGGTCCCGCCTCTCCTCGAATCGAGGGCCTCGTAAAAAGTTTCGAGTATAATCTACCGTGAAACTTTTACCGGGCATCCCATAGGCATCTCCCCTTCGTTAGCGCGCTGAAATCCATATTACGCCTCGCGAGTGGAAAAATCGCGAGTTCATTGAGGGAAAATTTCTAAAAGGGGAAACACGGACGAGATGTTATCACTTGAAATTACTTCCCGGCGTGCGCTTACTCTCCGAAAAGAGTTTTCGTAAAAGGTTCCTCGCATTCAGCGGCGCCGGTTGCATTCTCGAACGTCGAAAAAAAGAAAAAAATTGAAAGACGTCTTGCAGACGTCTGAGGCACATTCTCCGAGAAATTAAGATATTTCTCGCCCGTCCTCCCGCTTTCCCGTTCATTCCCATCAACTCGATTTTATCGCCGTCTTCGCGCATTAAAGAATTTCCATATCGACGGCGCGGCGGACGGTTCTCGCTCGACGGAGCGAAATGACGGGCGAGGACCGATGACTTCCGCGGTTCCGCGTGGCGTAGTTTCATTGCGGTAACCAGCCCAAGTTTCGACCGAACTCGTGGCACAAGTGTGCACGAGGCTCCGACAAACTTCACAATAGAACTTCCGCATTTTCGCTTCGCTGCCTGCATCGCCCGCGGAGATGCACAGCCGCGGGAAGAACGGAACGACCCTTTGCCCAACCCTTCCCTCTTCAGTCTAGCTCGTCCTTATTTTCCTGCCACGGCCAATCGAGCCCGCTCTTAAGTTTGCTCGCGTTTACAGGGTTCTGCCAAAATGTCGGGGCACGCGGCACGTCCGGGGACAGGATGGGATCGGATCGTTCCGGCGACGATTCGCACACTTTGGGAACCCATCGGCAGTATAGGTAAAGTATCGCCGCGCGTATCGACGATCTCCTCGAAACTGTAAAAGCTACCTCGCCCTTCGTCGAACCTATCTACCGGACGTAACGCGATGCAGGAAACGCGAGAAACGAGGCTCTTCACGCGGGTGGATCCATTCGATTCGCAATGACGTATGCTTTGCCGTATAAAACTGCGTATCCGGTCGGATATCACACAGGAGACTCTTTAATAAAATTACGCTGCAATTATACACCGTTAAATATTAGAGGGTGAAATTTAAACCAATACTTCGAGTTAAATAACGTTTCGTTATTTTTTAATTATTATGTATGTCGAAATTTATTATTTTAACTCCATTAGTTCAGTCAAATTAACATTGTTTTAGTTAAATTAACGATATATTGAGTAGGAGCAGTGGCGAATGATTGACAATAGGAATGATTGAAAATGACTCAAATTGAATTTAATTTGACACTATGAATTTAACGGTGTAGATCGCAATGATTTGTCGAAATGATAGCGTCAAAGAAGTGCCATTTCAAAATACTATCAATTGATCGACAATTAATTATGTAACATTAAGGACGGAATGCAGGAAAAGATTGGATTGCTAATGGTATTCTTTTTTTCACTTATATGTGCAGCTTACATTTATATCCACGCTATGTTCTCATACATATGTCCAATGTCCTATTATTTTTCGTCTTTTTGAACAAGTAAGCCGTAGGAATTTACATAAATATAAAAATACCTTGGCTTTTCTCTTGAAATAAATTCTAATTTAAGTGATCTTTTAGTCTTGAAACGTTGAAATTGCGCGACAAGGTCCTCTTTGTTCTTTCGATAATTTATTTAGTAGACTAAGCAGCGTCTCCCCGGATCCTTTGTTTTTTGCGAGAGCAAAGATGGTTAGAACTGTTGTTATCTGCCAGCCGGGACGCATCTTTTGAGGGAATGGAGGCTCTCAAGGAAAACAGAAGGACGCTCTCGTCGCGAGGCATTATCAAAAAGCAGGAGGAGACGGAAGCGGAAGCGAAAGCGGAGGCCCGCGGCGATGAACGCGAGGACAAACACCTCCTTTTGTCAGAAAATGGTGCGAAAATTCCGCCTCGGCGAGACGTAAATGTCAGTAAGTAAAATTGTCGTCTCCCTAATGTTAACGTATATATCCCCGGTAAATCGGACCGCGGCAAGGTGAAAATCCTCGCGGGAACGAGATACGATATCCGTTTCTAAGCGAATCACGTTATTCCGGAAATTTTCCATATGTCAACGTAAACACTTGTTTCCGTATCGCGTCAAGCTCGGATGGCAAAAATTTCGTCGATTTTATTAATCGCTCACGTACGCCCAGTATCCGATCGACATGTTTTTGAAGATCTACCTTCGCTATCTGTTCGACAGCGACCCCGAGCAAGCAGCAAGAGGGCAACTTCGGCAGTCGGACGCGCAAAAAGCGTCGTAAAAGCAAGGAGGGACTGGCGGGTGCCGGTGTCAAGGATCGCGTGCACGACATCACCGAGGACAGTCGCGAGAACGAGATAAGCAAGCGGGATCGATCGCCACGGAAGAGAAACGACCCCTTCTCGAAGTCGCGGCCGAGGAGTCGGGAGGCGCGAAAGTCCCGCGCGGAACGACGAAAGCGGAAAAAGAAGGACCGGAAGGAGCGAGACAGAAGTGGGAAGAGCACGCGGCGAAACAACAGGCGGCAGGACGTCGCGCGACGATCGTTGAAGCGCAAGAGAAAGACGCACGATGGCCTGAGCGGACGTATCCCTGAAAAACTCGATCTCGCCGGGATTAACACGTCCGAGCCGGCGATAGAGAACTCGTCGAGCGTCGCCGCCGATCGCGCCTCGCTGACGGAGACCACCGACACGACGACGACGTCGTCGAGTCTTCAACGTCGTCCGACACTCGAGACGACGAGCAGGCTGATAAGGACGACGCCGCGTCGCGGTGTCTACGCGGCCGACACGGTGGAGAGGGAATTCTCCAAGCAGCTCGAAATGGAGATCTCCAAATCCGCCCTGAAGGATCCCTCGATCTTGGATGACGGTATCTTCGATACCGCCCCGAAGAAATCGTTCGGACGGGGCGCGGAGTCGAGCGCGGCGCGGGAGGGTAAAATCGATTTCGGGAGCTCGCATTACGACGCCGAGAAGATGCTGGGCTACTCGAGGACCGAGGAGGACCTACCGATTCTGGATCTCGAGAACGAGGTGCTGGAGAGGACCCTGAAGGACTACAACGCATATATGACGTCGCGGCTGAAGCCGTTGTCGTTGCCGCGCTACGACGAGCTGCCGATCCGTCGCGCTTCCGGCGCACACCCGCCGAGGAAGCCGATAATTAATTCCGAGGAGAGCGTCGAGGAGACCGGCGACGGAAACGCGGAAGTCACCGGCGTAACGGGAACGTTGCAGGACGACGGCGGCACGAAAGGGGACTTATCTTGCATAAACGGGACGTTCCTGCCGGCGCCTCTATCTCGCCACGCGCTGATCAAATATGTAAAGTAAGTGCTCTCCTACCTTCTATCATCCATAATTCAATGCTCGGTATTAATCCCGGTGTAAACGATTTACGCGAACGCTATGGAGCATAAGCCATGCACGAAGTGTCTCCCGGTGCAACCGTTAATTTTAATCAGACTCCCCGAAGTCGTCTCTTCAAATCAAACCTCTCTTCGATCGAAACAAATCAAAATAAGGTATATTCCGTTGGTTAATAAAAAGTACAAAAATCGTTGGGAATTTAGATGAGATTACGTCTAAAGACGATAGCGAAATTTTGTTCCGTGACACTTTTAGATGAAGATGCAGCGATCAAATATGTAAAGTAAGCACCCTCCTGTCTTTTATCATCTGTAATCCAATGTTCAGTATAATCTTGGAGCCGAGATTCAACGGAGTCAATTGGATTTACGTTCGCTAGCTGAATTGTGTACGAAGTATCTCCTGCGACGCAAGACGTTAATTTTAATAATCGATTTTTTTTACAAATCGACTTAGATCAAAATGTCGATAAAGTATAATAGATGTATGTTTCATTAATTAACGAGTAATAGAAGTGATTGGATACAAACTAAGACGAATTTAATTCGATTTCAAAATGTGACAGTATAATTTTTCTTCGTGACACTTTTAAATGAGAATAAATAATCAAATATGTAAGGCACTCTTCTATCTTGTATATATTTTCATCCATAATTTAATATTTAATGTGTCCGATCTATTCAAAATAACCATTAAAAAACTAGCACATGTACGAGGTATTTTCAGAAACGACTGAACGACATTAACATTTCAATAATCAAATTCTCAAATCGGTTTCTATTTAATTAAAATGTCAATCAATTAAAGTGAACACATATCTCATCTAATTGATAAACATCTAATATTGACGGTCAACGAGAATTTACTGACAAAAATTAATTTGTTCCAAATCCGGAGAAACGGCAGCAAAGCCTTCCCTCCCACGGTGACGCGCGCTTTCAAATTAAAATCAAAATATATCCCGATTCCCATTTAGCGCTAATGCCACAGATCCTACCTGAGAAAATAGAATTTCATCGTAAAAATAACTCGCCGGCGTTCGCGTCACAATTGCAAAGGTCCTCGACCCCGGGGCACGAGTATTTGGAAGCCGATTACGAGTGTGTGCCGGGCTACCGTATGGTATCCTCCGCGAGCCGATTACTCTGCAGGAATCGTCAGTGGGTCGGACAGGTGCCAAAGTGCGAGATCGAGCAAAACCCGAACGGCGTATGCGCCGAGGCATCCTGCGAGCACGTTTGCAACGAAATTAACGGGCGTCCCGTCTGTTCCTGCTACGAGGGATTCAGATTGGACGGCCGCAAATGCGTCGGTGAGCACGATTTCGCCATACGTAGCAATTATCATTAATGGACGCTATTTTCGCAGATGTATTTTTATGCGCGAACTCCGTCCACGCGCAGAGCGCCAAGTTTTTATTTCACGTCAAGCTTTTATTTCAGTCTGCACAAGCCAGACTCAAAATACTTATACATTTTAGATGTTTTTACTTTCAGTTTGGTTTTCATTTCGAATCCTTACCTCGATATCTCATTTCCCTCGTGCAAACGCCATCTGTTTATCGCAATTAAAGCGATCCTAGAGTAGTAATTGTCTTGTTCAAACATCATCAAAGTATCTTGCGGAGTTAATTAATTACGCTCCTCTGCGCGGAGCAAAACGCGGCGGATTAAACGTTGCACGACGTTTATTGTGCAGACATCAACGAGTGTTTACTGAACAACGGTCACGGTCCCTGCCAGGACACCTGTCGAAATCTCGTAGGAGGGTACGAGTGCTCCTGCGAGGGCTTGCAAGACGCGTCGCTGGCCGCTGACAATCACACGTGCGAGCGTGACAGGCACACGGGTCCGTGCAGCGTTAACAACGCCGGATGCTCCCACACGTGTCTGTCCACGATGGGCCGGGTGTTTTGCCTGTGCCCCGACGGCTTCATGCTCGAGGACGACTGGAAGACGTGCCAAGGTGAACAATTGGATCGGTCAACGATCGATTAAAACTTCGCTCGTAAACTTTGACTTTGCAATTCGATATTGCTTCCTTTTCTGGTTTATAGCTCCTCGAGACATTAGGACTGTTCTTTTTAGCTGAACTTCTTGCACGGTTCATCTTTCTTTTTTTTTTTTCTTCTCGCATTGGAGAAAAGAGGAGAAAAGACGAACCGTGTAAAGAGTTCAGCTAGATAGAGCGGACCTATTAACTCGAGACGTTGTATTTTACGCAAGACTGACGCGATTGAATTTTCGTGATGAATTTCAACCCGCGCTGAACCGCACTTAGGCCAGATTTTGCGGAGCATTCGCGGGAATCTCTCGCTCGGCGCGACGCTTTCGTAGGGAACGTATCGGAGACGCTTGACAAATGGCGATCATTTCCCGCAGACGTGGACGAATGCTCGGTGCCGGATCTTCAGACGGAGCTGTGTCGCTACGGGTGCATTAACACCCCGGGCTCCTATCGATGCGCGCAACCTATGGAGCTGAAGGATCAGCCGATCTTGGACAGCCTGTCCATCACTTGCCTGCCGGGCTACGAGAAGACTTCCCACGGGTGCATCGGTGAGTCAGATAATGGAAAATTCTCCGATTTTCGTCCTCAAGAATATAAGGGGGGGGGGACATTCATCTTGTCGGCGTGTTAATTTATGCGACGCTCAGATTAACTGCCGTTCCAACCGCGACGAATTGTGTCCGATAGTCAGGCGCAGCGTTGAAGGATAATTCTTATATTATTAATTTTTAAAAAGTGATTAATAGCCGGCAATAAATTCTCGACAATTCTATGAAAACTCGTCGCGTCTCCCTTTTGTTGAGAACCATCCAAACTGTCAAAATGTCAAAACGAGATTTTGGCAATATAATTTCAACGGGACTCACCTCACGTCTGACTGCATCCCCGAGTTTATTGTTAGACGATGCAGCTACGCGGCACGAATTATAGCGCGCGGATGAATCCACTTTGCAAATTTGCACGTGTTAGGACGGCTGCTCAAGTCAGGAGTTAAGCTAATAAGTTCTCGTTAATAAGTCGGGAGAGCATCGTGTTACCGTTAGGAATGGAGATGTGACCTTCCGCGACGTGTACACGAAAACTTTGTCAGAAACCATTATCCCCCATAAGCGTTTCTTCTCAAAATAATTTATAATCCGCATTTATACATCCTTTTAACCCTTAAAGGCTATACTTCACTAGAACTTTGATCGCGTATAACTCGGGGAGTAATCAACTAAATTTTAAAAAATTATGTATGAGATAGGGGTAGAAAAGATTGAAGAAAATAATAGAATTATAAAAATTGCCAATAATTAATATTGAATTGTCCAAAAACATTAATTTCTTAAGTGAATGAGCGTTGAAATTGATTCTAGGTCCATATATAGACCTAAAGCCTCTAAGGGTTAATTCTTTCGTTATGTCTTCCTTATTTTTTATTTTTTACTTCTCAGCTTTCACTTATAAAATTGTGAATTCTTCCCGAGCTTGGCGATTGACACCGTTCCGTAATATTTTTTGTCGTGGCGGGCGGATATTTCGTTTCGCGCAAAGCTCGCGTCGTTTAAGTTCCTTCGATCGCGAACTTCTCGGACAATTCTCTCGTACGATCCCGACGAAAGCACGCGGCAGCTCCAGTATTTCCTCGAGGAAATCCGAGTTGCCTCTCTCTCTCTCTCTCTCTCTTTCCTTTTTCCGCGAGACGGCGAACGAAGTACTGTCGAATCGTAACCCCCACAGCCCCGCAAGGACGATACCTATATCACCATCGGTTACTTTCGGATGGAAAGAGAGAGAGAGAGAGAGAGAGAGAGAGAGAGAAGAAGAGAGAGAGAAAAAGAAAGAGAGAGCCTTTTCTTTTCCGCCAATCGTGCATTCCTCGGGAGAGTAACCTTCTTAGGAGTCCCGCGAGTTTCTCCCCCAATACCTTCGAATATCTCGGAACGGCTCGCACAAAATGCAGTCCCTACTGCAATCCGTTTTGCCGACGCGCACAAGCGCGCTCTCGGAAAAACGCGGCGCTTTTATCGGCATTTTATACGAAATACGCTTCCGTGGATTCCTCATACTCGCGCGCGCGTATTTGTCATGATAATATATAATAAAAGCTTTTCGTAATATGTGCGCGAAACTTTTGTTATCGCAGATAACTCGTGTGTAGCGCGTTTGATTAATTGACGTCTAAACGAGGAGGCGTATCGATATCCGCACATTTACAGGATATCCAGTCCGATATTTTGTTTCTCCAAGTACACAACAATAGTTGAAGAGATGTTTCCCTCTTTTCCCGATACGGTCAGCGACACACGCCGAGGCTCGTAAACTGGCAATCCAATCCCGGGGCGTAAATCCTTCAATTACAATTGATGCGGTGGTCAATACCGAGAACATTACGTCTCGTTTGATACAACGTGACAGACGGTCGCGGTTTGCGAATCTTATTCCAGGGAAATTCAATCCATTTCCGCTTTCTTTTTCCACGACAATCTCGGTCGTTAAATAGCCTCGGGGGGTGGAGGAAAGTTTTACGTGAACGACATTTTATAAATGATTGACATTACGAGACGCCCTCCCGAGGCGGAAATGCGTCGGCTATACGAGAATCCGCGCGTTCGCGAACGATGTAAGGATCGTCTTAACGATCGGCGAGAGTATTAAAGAGAGTCCCTCCTTTTAAAACAAGAAGTGACACGTTTCGTGCTTCCCTCCTCCCTCGCGAGGGAGATAAAAGAACCGTAAATACACGCGGATCCCTGCGAAATGTCACGTTTATGAGAATCCCCCGGTATTCCGGCGTCAAAGCGAAATTCTAATTTCGCTCCCGCAAAAGGCGAGAGAGACGCGCGCGTACCGTTTATGTATACCGGCGAAAAATAGACTATCTCGCGATAATCTTACAATCTCCGGCGTGTGCGCGAGAAGAAGGGGGTGCCCGGCTGAAAGAAAACGCTCGGGTGGATTTCTCGGGGAGAAACTGGAACGCCGACGAAAGAAATTCTTGCTCAGCGTTCCGGTCTCGGTGCGGGCTGATCCTGCCCGTCGCATCGGGCGCGAGTTTCTTGCGGGCCACACGATGCTCTTCCCGAATAAATAAATGAGCCGCGCCCCACGTTTTCTTGCTCGCGTTTTCATATACGGGGAAAGAATATTGGAAGATTTATCGCGGCGCAAAATGTGGGGATTAAAACGGAGGAGCGAGGGATAAAAATTGTACAATGATAAACGATGATGAACTTCACTTAGCGGCGAATACGATTAGTTTTATATACGGCGGCCACCCGTAAATGTCTCGGTTTTTTTGATTAATCAGAAAACGGAGAGAAGGGCCGATCTCCGAGTTTGTTGCTACAGGATTGAGAGCCGGGATTACGAGACACCCTGTATGCGTTTCCGCGCGCAGATTTATAAGCCGTGAAAGCCCAGCGAAAGTCGAGTGCTCTCGGCTATCATTGAGAGTGCTCCGGGCAATAGCGACTCCGGCCACTTCGGTCAATTTAACGTAATCTCGCCGACGATTGAAAGACAGATCGAGGGCCAAAGAACGCGAGAGATCGCCGGTGAAGCGGTCATTACGGCGCGAATGAAAGGAGCCTTGTATAACGTTCGTCTCGACGAAACGAATGTGGCGAACGATCGCCGCCCGGCCGCGTCCGATCCGTTAAGAGACGGATCGTTTGACAGTCGTGACGCTCTCGCCCGAAGGCGTGACTACGCCGAGCCGATCTTAGATTAAAGATAACTCGCGTCTACGAGATCATTTATACAGCCTCCTAATCAATTGCAGGATGTGTATCGCAACAACATGACGTGAATGACTTCTAAATGAAAAGTGATTAAGTCTGAGAGATAACGAGAGATACAATGTAATATTAATATAATCGATATACAAAATATTTCGTACGAAACATTCATTTTTTGATAATTTCGCTTTGATGTAACTATTAATTAAAAGATACATCATCCGTGTTAATTATATAGAATATTAATTGTAATTTATGAAAATTCACCGAGCTCAAATAGAGCAAAGTTATAAAGAGGCAATTAATGAAATTTTATATTTCCGATATATTTTGGCATGAAATATGTATATTAAGTGAGTCTCATGACCGTTTATGATAATTAGGTAAAGAGGAAACGTGTCAATATATGGTCGGGCTAGGTATCTTTCGTGCCTAATAATATTAATTGACGTACATCAAAATATTTATTTTCCTCTTCAATACTTTCAGGCGCAAGAAATTAATTGATCGATGTAAAAAGGATGAAAATTGCATTTGGGCTTTTGTGTTTAGATATCGACGAGTGCGCGGCTGACAACGGTGGTTGCAGCGAGGTGTGCGAGAACACCGACGGGAGCTTCTTCTGCGCCTGCGACGGGGACGAGAAAGCCCTGTCATCCGACGGGAAATCCTGCGTAGGTACGTGCTCCTTGACAAATCACTTTTCCGCGCCCTCGTTCATTTCGCGCGGGACGTGCTCTCCCCGCCGCGCTCCGGTCGTACGGCACCGGACGATCGAACGCGATGGGTGAACGCGACGGATGAATGCGATGAGCGAACGCGACGTACGCGGGGTGTGCTCGTTACGCTTCCCTTAGTCGAGAAGCGATTTTAACGTGGCTGCTCCCCGCAGGAAAAAGTTGAACGCTCAACGCCACCCGCCTCTTTGTCGTAAACTTTTTAACGTTTTCAATTATGTGTAACTTTGTGAATTTCGAACAAGCCGTGCGTTTACGGGAAATGGGGGTGGGAGGGTGGGGAACGTGCATCGGTACCCGGGTAGTCGCGGCGCATCCGCCAGCAAGGGGTAGCATTATGCAAAGCTGTCACGCAGGAGCGACTTCCAGCAGGACGCGTCACAGCCGCGATAGGTCCTTCCCCTCTGCCGACATTGGCATCTGTAATTCCTGTCTTATGTACATACATACATACATTACATATCGTATTTGATACGTGGAAGCCTCGCGCGGCTGTCGTGGCTGACATAATATCGCGTCGATGTGGAGGGTTCTCGCTTTGAACGCGCGCGCGTTACATACATAGATTACGCGCCGAGCCCGCGCCGAGCTTTATGAGCCGTACGTGAAATGCTAGGCTCGCCATTGACGCACGCTGTTGGTTCGAGGCCGGTTTTGCTCCTAGTTGCGCGAACACAATCGATATCTGCCCACCAATGAATAGCCACAAAATCGTTTATTTATCCCCGCGGACCCCGCAAGGGACGACGTAATGTTGCGTCAAAGGAAAAGGAGGTATTCCCGGTTTATCGAATCACATCGGAAATTGATGCAAATAACATCTCATCGGGAGATCGATGTAAATTGGATACAGATAACTTGATCGAAATTCAACATATACTTATGTTTATTTCTACCGATGTAGATTAATTTTAATCTCGGTTTAACTTTTATCTTTTTCCAACTTTCAAAACTAGAAAAAAGGATAAAGAGTAAGTTAAATCGAGATTAAAATTAATCTACATTGATGGAAATGCACGTTAGTCTGAAATAATATCTGTCAATAAATCATGAATTAAAAAAAAAACTTAAAATGTTTGAGGTCTAGTGAGTGAAAAAAATTCTTCTTGCAATTTAAGAAATAACGAGCATTATCTTGTTTCCTTTCGGTGGTTCCTCGAGTTGGTGATTCGAGTTTCTGCGTTACGACGCACGGATTATAATCCCGGACTGTAATCTTCATCTTCCAGACATAAACAGTATCGCGTGCCTGCCGTTAAATCCGGTCGATCGCGGCTACTTAATATGCTCCCGATCAGCTACGTCCAAGTTGTGGCGCGACAGGCGAAAAGTGCCCAATCGACCCAGCACGAGGTGCTTCCTCAAGTGCCCCCGTGGGTATCAGCTTCGCGGTGAGTACGAGTTGACCTGTCGATCCGACGGCACCTGGGACGGACCGCAGCACGGAAAGTGCGTCAGTGAGTATGGAAGTTTTTTTCTAGGAAAAAAAAGCCGATTTATCGGCGAGGAATACCGAGAACGGTTTTCCTTGGTTTCTTTCTCCCCGTTTCTCGGTTTCGTTTAACGCATTCGGACATCTAAATCCGAGATATTTTAATATTAATAGACAATTGGATTTTCCGCAAAGCAACGAGTTCTCAAAAAATATTTAAGTTTCATTAAACTTTTCAAGTATCTCTGAAGCGCCTTCGAAGTTATATTTTGCGCGTTCTGAAGAATTCTTATTTTTCCTCACAAGACAGGCGGAACTTACAAATTCTCAACTAGACGATTTAGAGAGTGACGAGTATTTTTTAAATTATATTATTCATGTAGAATTTGGAATAGGTATTTTCATTAAAAAAGGAAATAAAACATTGTTGTGTTGTCGCGTGAAAAATTGGCACAATATATATATCGGCGGAGGAATATCGTCTTTTTTCTCGCGACAGGATACAGCAAGCCCCGATTGGAGTGTCCGAAGGACGTCGTAGCCGAATTACCGCCGGGCAGGGACGAGGCGTTCGTGACCTTCGATCAACCGGCGACGGATCTCGATTGGTTCCGATACGTGCGATCGAAGCCTTCCTGGGGCACGCGGCTCGAAGCCAATCTGGAGCCCGGCGTGCACGAGGTCACATTTTTCGCGCGACACCCGGTATCGAAGAAGCAGGCCAGCTGTGTATTACGCATTATCGTCAAAGGTAATTAATTTGCGCGGATGCGTGTTAACGACGTATTACGGGGCTATAAGCCCCGCGCTAACGATGATACTCGTTCGAGCGCTCGTGATAATCACCGTACCCTCTATATCGCCAGCAGAAATAGCAATTATTAATTTGTAATTGCCCACTCGCGATCTTTTCCCCCCGTTCCGACAATGTACATGTATGTATACGTTCTCAAAGTTAATTATCGCGTCGCCGGTATTGTTTTCAGAGAGATTTTTGTACAGTTATTCAAACTTGTTTGCACATTTGTTAATAACTTCGTTTTGAGAGAAATCGGCTGTAAAAATTACCGCAAACGATTTACCGAAACGAATTACCGGTTAAACGTTGGTTTAAATCATCCAGCAAATATTAGTTCCCCGAAAACATGGTCGTTCACTTAGGGTCAGTTACACCCGGGTAATCCGCGATACGCTCCCGCATTAATTAATCCGGATTATAGAGATTGCACTTTGCGGAAGATAGTGGATAAACGTCTCTTGAACCCCCCCCCTGCGAATCTTGATTAATAACGGACGGAGATGGGAGGTAGCACGTAGGCTAATTCCATCGGAGGAACACATGTTTAAAATAAACTACAGCGCGCAGAACGGAGGGCCGTACATCATTTACCCGTCGCGGAAACTTCGCAGTTTCTCAATGATTAACAGCGCGAGATTGAAATATTCTCCTCCCTTGTTTCCGTTTCTTGGGCGATGATAATTCCGGTATTCGCGCGCGCGTTGCGAACACAAAGCGGCGGCGATGTACAAGCTCGCGCGCGAAAAGAGGGAGAGAGTAGCACACGCGAGTTGGCAAATTGTTACGTTGCCTTGTGAACGAACGTCGTCGTCGTGTCAAAAGTTCCCCACGTCGCCCGTTAATGTCGGGGCGTCGAGATCCTTTGGATGCGTCTTAAGAATATTAGGTCCCTCGCGCCGTGCGTCCCATCCCAATCCTACACCCCCCCCTCGTCTATCCTGACGCATCTTGACGGGACGTGAGCGAAATACGCGCGGCAGCTCGTTGCACCGCGAGTTAAATCCTTATATGATTCCGGGCAAACTTACTTCTCGCGGCAGAAACTGGTAAATTATTATCGCACTTGTAAAAAAGACCCTCGCTGTCTCCCTTCGCCCCCCCTCCCCTCCCCGTCGCACGACGGTATTCCAATTTGATTTTGCATCAAGATGAAACGCGTCACGTTGGAGAAATGCAGTTTTCCTGCAACACGTACGTCAGGAATATTTCTAGGATTTCGTGAATATAAATCTGCTGGTAAAAACGGTGGAAACAATCCGCGATTCTCGGCTGTTTACCTCCTCGAGTGAGTCCTCGCGCACGATTTAACATGCATTCCGAGTTCGGTGCGAGGACTGATTTCGTTTAACCGGGGACGGCATTCTGAGGATCGCACTCGGGGGTTGCTCCGCGAAATCTTATAAAAGTACTCGCGTGTACTCTCATTTGTGTGTGCCTAAAAGTAAGTTGACGAAACTAATTTAATGCAAACTCCGGAGCTTCGTCACTGACACTCGAGCCAACGAGTTTTCTCGGGGAAAACGTTGGCCTGGATTCCGCGGACCGCAACTCCGACTGCGCTATTTCTTTTTTCGTTGCGTATATAACGTAACGAGCGGGGGCGACTTGGCGCGCGAATAAGCTTTTCCAGACCGACGAGTGTACGACGGAAAAGAGAAAATGTCAAATTATACTCCCTTTCTCTTAGAGGAGCATAATTCCCTTCCTCCCGTCCCCTTCGTTCATTTGTTTCCTCTCGTCCAGAAATGAGAAATGTATTTACGAGGGAGGACACGCGCGCGGCAGTAGGAAAACTTGAATTAAGCTCGTTCCACCCCTCCGCCCGACTCCCCCCGTTTTATGACTCCAACGTCACGGTACGCGCGACGAGCGATAAATGAACCTCGCTCCTTCGGACTTCTTCTTCGGTCTTCCACTTTTGCAGCCGTCCTTCACCCGCGCTCGCGACTGCGCCAAGTCGCCGATTCATCATTCGACGTCGTTGCGGAAATCGAACTTTCTGACATCGCCGTCGATTCGATTCGGCGAGGAGGCGAGTTTTCTCACGGCCCGCAATTTCCTCGCTTAACGCGGGCGCGAGCACGGCCGGAAGGTCCGCCGTTGCTTCAATTTTTTGCTAATCCCCGACTCCTAGGTGGCGAGGCACCGAAAGTCAAAGACTGTCCGGGGGACATCGAGGTAGTCGGCAGAAATGGAACGGCGATCACGTGGACGGAGCCCACCTTCACGGATAACGTCAAGGTGACGCGGATCAGCAATAATGAGGTAAAAAGGCATGGATATACCGCTATGTACCGTAGAGATAGAGAATCGCATGTCCGGTCATCGTTTGTCCGTCAAAATGGTTACCCAGACAACGTAATGACCAAAATCAGGACATAAGACGTCTTTAAGACTTCTTATATGCCCCGATTTTGGACATTGTGCTGTCTGGGTAATAATACACTTTTCAATATACCGGGAGCTTGAATTGTATAATGGTAAAGGGTCTTATGTCTCTTATTACCAATTTCTGAGATAATGTTTTTCTAAAGTCGTATCGAAAATTTTAGTGCCTTAATTTTGGTCAGATGCATCAGCGTGTCAGTGGCAGTTGTACTGTTAAACATGTCAGTAAATTACTTAATTAAAAACTTAATAAATCAAAAATTGCTACTTTTATTTTATATCTAAAAAAATACACCATTTTCCTATATATAAAACTTTAAACCTCGTTTTCTCTAAATTTATTACAATGGAGATACGATTCTTTACCTCTAACAATAAGTTACAGATCTGTGAAATTTATGTTAACGCGCTCTCGTCATGAAAACATGAATGAAACGCTCGAGTTCGTTTCGGGCACAATTCCAGCGGTATCGTAATTACGCCTGAATAATTATAATTGACATTCCGGTGTGCATGTTCTATAAACTGATGTCTACATAATTATCCAGTAATATCAATGTTATCTGATACGTTTGATTTCCATCTCGGGTATTCGGGGCATGGTCGCGAACAAAAATTGGTTGATATCTCGATAATCGAAGTTTATGCATCATAAAAAGCTGTCGTATTCGGTATGTGCATTCGATATACGCATACCGGCGATATACGTATCGCGTTACACGCGGGCTTAATAAATCGCGTGGGATTGGGAGGGATGCGATTTTCAGCAAATCGTTAATATTCCGCAAGTGTGAAAATGCCCATTATGCGATATGTATTATCCCCGATGTAATATATCGGGATTGCCGTTTTATAAACGAGCGGAAATTCGCCGGCAGAGATACCGGCGCGTGATATAAATTAAGTTCTCGAATAAATGAATGATCACGGACGTTTTTCTAATAACCGAAAACACGCCCGTCGCGTTACAATTTCCTTCCCAAATTGCGATAATCGCGGCGCGCCGAATGACTGATTAATTAACGCCGATCTGAAATTAACGCGCGAATATATCGAAATGTATGTATATACTGTTTCGCTGGCTTTAATTAGCTTGTTTGTCGACGCGCGTCAATTATATATATATATATATATATATATATATATATATATATATATATGTATATTTTCCAAATACTCTGGCTCCCCGTCATTCATTCTAGAACGTGCTTTTTGATGAATAATGCAAATTTTTGGCGCGGCATAATACGGACGAGCAAAAGCCCGATTCCGCGGCTACGAAAACCGCGAGCGTAAAATTAGTTAAGTGTAATTTCCCGCCGCAAAATCGAGGAAGAGAGAGAGATAGAGAGAGATTTTGGGAATAAATCCGCCAGGAAGCGAGATTCCCGAGCGCTCGCGGCTCGTGCCAAAAATTCTCACGCGACCTCACTACCGGAAGGGGTAATTTTCACTTGAGCTTTCCGGAAGTCGGTGGCGAATTTCGCACACATCTCTCTCCTCTCTGCTTTTTATTGTCGCGCGTCACCGCGATTTATCGAGAGCGACGATATTTTTCCGTCTTACGTACCTTGCCGCAGAGCCCGGGTCGTCGCTTCGACGTCGGCGGCCACAGGATCGAGTACGAGGCGAGCGACGAGGCCGGTTGGTCGAGCAAGTGCGTCTTCGTCGTGGTCCTTCGTCAGTCCGAGTAAACGACCGGAGAGGTGCGACGGGGAAGGATCAGGGATGCGAGAGAGGGAGAAGAAAGGGACGAAAAGAGAGATATATAGAGAGAGAGAAACGGACGGAGAGAAGAGGGAAGAAGCAGTGCGGAAGAATAACGATAAGGTAATATAAATGGAAATGTTACGGGAATCGGGCACACAGAGACGTTCCTTACATATAGGCCCCGTAATGGGTTCCGTTTTGTCCGGCAGGTTACACGCGGGAACACAGTGAGAAAGAGAACAGATATATCCTTTCGCACGTACCGGTGCGTCCCTTTCTCAGTCCTCTTCCCCCTCGCGTACTCGCGACACCTTGGGCCCCAATGAAGATTTTTAGGACAGGGATGGAAGTACGTAAAAACGATTAGCCGCTAGATTTATGCGATCGAACTCCCATCGACTGCCACTTTTTGATAGAGTAAACGTAACGATAGTTCGTATAGCGTTGTGTACGAAGCATTTCATTGTACGGAGATCATTGTCTTGCGCAGACGGGGGGGAAGGTGGGACTTCTTTCCCAGGTAGAAATGCGGAAGCCTCGTGTAAAATTCGCGTTCGCACCTCGTGTAAAATTTCTGTAAAACTTTTTGCGCGAAGCCTCCTTGATTTTGTTAATCAACGCGCTATCGCGCATTCCTGCCTTCTCCTCCTAATCACCGTGTCGACGCAATTTATTTCGTTGCAATCGCGAAAAGATGATGCCAGCTACCAGCTACATAATGCGTTAGTAATCACTTTACGGGACGAAATTCGCGTTATCGAGTCTCGCTGCACGTTGAACAGAGATTAACGGGCGCCGATTAGCGCCTGACGTCTCGTCGATGCGAACTCTCGATGAACTTCCGAGGTGACGAGCGCTCCTCGCGAATATATTCCGTGGTAATTAACGCGGCTGTCTCGCGCACGGAGGCGTATACCCGCCACCGAATTTCTTGCTCGCGACAAGATTCCCGCCGAATGTGTGCATCCCGCTGACAAGGCCAGACAATGGGGGATCAACGTGCGTTGCCATCAAAATCACACGCGGGCACCGATATTCCGAGCGAGCTGACGCGGATTATCAGTGCAGTGTTAAGTTGCATGAGTTATCGCGCTTTAAGGCTAATGTTTAGGGATGTTGATAGAGAGAAAGATAAATGGACGGAGAAAAAGAGAGAAAAAAGAGAGATACAAATTGCTTCCTCTCGTTGCTCGGTCTTGAGATTACAAAATTTTTAAATGTCTTACGCAATACGAATGAGGCATAAATAAAAAAGCGAGCAATGCGATATATAACATTGTTTTGTTTTGTACAACTTATTGTTAGTTCAATATTGTTTATTGAATTAATTTGTTAGTGTTTCGCTGACTGAATGGAATAATTGTAATTTTTAATTGACAATGATTTTCTTACGGTAAAACTAGTGTACTTCAAACTTCTTCGAACTTTCTTTAACTACCAAGAGCATACTCATAAATTCGTCGAATGTTTTGCAAAAATCATTGCCCTCTCCTTATTATGAAATATTATTGTTTTCTTTTCTCTCCTTTTCAACTCCGCTTTTATATTAAATGATGAATAACAAATTCTCGAGGTGCGGAAAATGAAAAGTAATCCCGCGAAGTACGGTTGCGAGAGGTCTGTTTACAGAGAGTTGGCGCGACGAATAATTAACTGCCGTCTAATTACAACGTACCGGCACAAGCGAAACGCGTATTTGCAGGCAACAGAAATCCCGCTTTCTTAAAACGTCCCAATTACCGAGACCGCCGTCGGTTCTTCTTTTGTCGCAAATAATTATTGGTTACTGTTTACGTCTCGAGACCGACGGGAGAGATACGGAAAACACGCAAATGTGTTTGTGTGCACGCTCTCATTAATAGGCGCGCGCGCGAAACCAACAATCCGCGTTTGCATCATTGATCAATGAATATAGTGTTCGTTATGTAAGCTGGTAGCGACCGGCGCGTTTAATAATCGCGGCGCCCGATGCGGTTTTGCGTTTCCACCAAACGACGAGACATCGTAGCGTAACGCAAAAGGGGTAAAGGAGAAGCGGACTACCGTAAAATGAGCTCAGATCGCACGTGTAACTTTACGCCACGCTGAACGGAGAATCGCGTCGCATTTAACAGGAGAAAACATCGCGTAGCGTTTAAAGGAGATGATTCGTTGCGTCTTCTCTTAACAAAAATTAATTTCTCGTCGAATTCGCACGGTTTCGTAACTCGATGTGTACATAATCTTGTTTTTACGTAGAATTATACATGTATAAGACTTGTGAAAACTTTTATATATAATTCTCTCTATCGTGTGTTCCTAAAGTATATCCCCGCGTCAGTGTGCGATCCAACCCCATGTCCGCGGTAGCGCAAAAGACAGATGGATATTTCGTTTACTATTTATTAATATTCCTCTACACCGTCACTCGCATATCATTGTTACGATCGATTGTCGTCGTACGACATATTATAATATAGATGTATAAAATTTATGTATTAAATATACGTGTATACATACCCATGTACGTATGTATATTACAAAAAAAAGTCGCCGGACGATCCGCGCGAACCGTCGCGCCTCGGCGCGGCCGCGGCCGCGCATTGTTGTTGCCGCTGCACAACAAATGAATATTTTATTGACATCGCTTATTAAAACGGTTGCGCGCGCCGCGCCCGCCGTGTCGGTTCGCGCGGGGATTCTCTCTCTGTATTTTATATCTATCTACTCTTAAATGGCATTATTGATGACGGCAGCTTATTCCATTGCTGATCTACTTGGCTATGCGGAAATAATCTACTGCTGCGACGTCACCGATCGAGGCACGAGGTTCGTCTGAAGTATCCACCAAGAAATCTGCTCAGCAACGTGACGAAAGAATCACGAAAGTCAAACGTACATACGTATACTGATTACCTTTTTTTTAACATAGGCTTATTTAAATCTTCTCTCGTTTAAAAACCGCGCAAAGAAAATATCGAATAATGGAGACATATCACTTCGAAACAAATACGTCACCGCTTACGAAACGAAAATATCGGTATACGCGAGTTAAAGGGCGGCGTGTTACACCATTTTCTTCCAGGTATAACGCTATCCCGGAGTTAATTACGATCGATCTTCCAGTTGCGGATACGCGCAGGTGCTCGCAGGTGCCGATTCACACGACAGTCTTTCCTCGAGAGGGGGATGGGGAAGCTGGCGGAGTTAACTTACGTTCGCCTATTACGTGTCGTTCACGGGCCCTTACGTGCAACATTCATGCCGCGGCGGCAATATTCTAGTCTCGACGCGGCCCGCACCGTAATGAGTCGATGGCGAAACTACGTGATCGGTCCTCGTGGCGCGTTGCCGATATTGCCGCTGCCGCAGCTGCTGCTCCCGCGCCTGTCGCTGGGGGTGGTATTGTTGTCGGCCCGGGTGTCGATCTGAGAACACACACGTTTTCCCATTATCGAGTATCCGTCCATGTGTGCGAGATACATGGCCAGAAATATTGTTTTGAACTCAAAGGACCGGCATATTTTCATCTTCGGTGTGATAAATACTTTCTAATATTCCTATATTGTCCAATATACGAGAGAGCACGAAGTAAAATTGATATTATGAAATTTCTTCGGAGTGTAAAGTGCTCGGCGTGTTTGTAGCGTTCAAATTTGAACGCAACAATCGTACGGACATAACTTATAACGAGAAAACTTCCGCGAAATAGAAATTAATCACGTAAGTTTACAAGCATCGAGAGCTTCGATTACCGCTTGTAATCAGCCGCCGAATCGCCTTAACTGCCATGACGTCTAGGCTTTTAAGTAAATGGACCAGGATAGTCCGTCGCCGAGACGTCGCCGCGCGTCGTAAGTCGAGCCGAATGCAGATGCTGGCGGAGAGTCGCTTGCGAAAAAGCGACGGGAGAAACGCAGAGGGAGAAGGAGAGGGTAAAAGTGGCGGACAAAAACTTTCCAAGTACCGGGTGTATACTGTCGTTAATCATATAAAGTCAATCTACGTCAGATTACCAAGATTGATTAGGTACACTGAAAGCCTGATGCATCAAAGGGCAGGGAAGGGGATTCGAGGTATATTACGTCGATGTTCGATGTTACTCCGGCGCTTTCGAACGGTTGTAAACGGCGCGGCTTCCGATATCGAATTCTACGAATAAAAAAACACGCGTAGAGCTGCGAATTCGCGTACGCGCGACAATCTCAACGAAATAAAAATTCGATAAACGGATTTCAAAATGGAATTGGCAGTCGCGGTAAGGTAATGCGGTCTGATTCCACTTTTCGATCATTTATCATTATCATTGTGTCGTTTGTGCTATTATTGCAGCCACATCGTTGTGGTGAGTGCGATGAAAGACGTTAACACAGAAGCCGAAGACAATTCCGTTTCATCTTCAGCAAGTGGTTGTCGTCATCCCGGAAATACCGCTTTCAGCTCGGCGGCATTGTCGTTGCCCCCTTTTTCTTCTCTATGTCTTATTAACAAGCGGTGGCTCTAACGCGCCTAAGAGATTGCGCCGCAAAGCGTGGCGTATGTAAATCACGCTGGCAACACTAGAGAGAAAGAGAGAGGGCGACGACTGTTCGAGCTGTTCATTAACTACTTCGTGGTGCGCCAACAGCACTTAGCCGTCGGTCCGTTGTTACGATGCAGATGTTAGCCCCTCATTGTAAGTTGTGCCAGTGAATGACCACCGAATGTATATTTATTAGTGCTGGTAGTTGCGTTATATAGTCACAGGGAAATGACATGTTGTTATATCATATGTATTTTCTTTTAAGTAAAAAAAAAATGTGAATGTCAGTTGTTAATCGTTACGAAATTGTAAACGGTAAAGAGAGATATTTCACAAATATGTTGGACCATATAATTGCCTTCGTAGCCGCGAAATGCGTCAGTTTTGTGTCGGTTTTCAATTTTTTATCGGACTTTCAGCGAGGGCTTTTGTCCCGCGCGCGCGCGCGCGAAATCAATTCCACGTTATTTTCAATCGCATTTAACGTTTGTTATTACGGTAGACATGCGATTTGGCAATAATAACAATAATAACGGCAGCAGAAATATAAACGTCGATCGCGATTTTATCTGTTTGCCAATTATCCGGCGCCGCGTTTTGTTTTAACTCCCACCGTTTCGATTTAAACGGGTTTTACATTTCGAAAATTCGTCACGCCCGGCTTAGCGCGCAACGTACCGTAACACGGCAAATCGTTTCGCAACAAAGACTAATTACATTGAAACACGATGGAAATATTAACACCATTGTTGTATTGACGAGAAAATATGGTATATTTTCACGCAACGCTCTCCGTGCTGGGGCACGACAGTTTGCGCAACAGCTCGGGATTTCTCTCGATTCTGTCCAGCACGTCCTGCAGCTCCTGGATCTCCTCGGCCGACAGAGGCGTTCTCTGCTCCGACAGGATGGACACGGCGTCGGAGAGGCTCAGAGACGCCAGGGCGACGCCGTCCTTATCGCCGTGATTCAGGAGGCCCTGCTTCAGCATCCTGATGTATCGCTTCAGCGCGGAATTCATCGCGAGTCCTATCTTCGAGTCGCGCCGCGGAAGCCGCAGTTCCTCGTCGTCGGCCACGTCGCGACCCGCGACATCACCCTGCCGCGTCTCTCTCGCCTCCGCCGCCGCGACGTTACCGCGCTCGCGCGGGGCGGGGGACGACGACGCCTTCGCGAACGGAGATTCATCGTATCTCATTTCGTCGACCGCGCCGTTTGATCGAGTATTCAATTTCGCGCCGTTTAATCCGCTCTTCGTCGCGGGATTTGCATCCCGCCGCGCCGTCGTCGGATGCGAAGATTGCGAAGCAGCCGCGACTACGGGCCCGCGGCTCTCGGGCAGATCGTTCGCGCTGGCGGCTCTCGCTCGCAGATCTCGTATAATTTTCGGCGCCGTCGATCGAGCGACGTCGTTGGTGCTGTTAGATTTCACGTCGTTCCCCGTCGTCGCCGTTCCCCTCGCGCTTTCCGCTCGAATCCCCTCGTCGCTCTCAACCGTCCCCCCTTCCGCACTCTCCCGCGGATCGATTCGGAAGAACGTGAGCCCCGCGAGCCTCTCGCCGTCGGGGATCGCGGATTTATCGGTATTGTCGGCCGGGTTTAACACTTCGGCGGATAATTCAATCTGCGGGCTTAGCGACGCGCCTCTCGGAGGATTCTCCGCGCTTCTTAACTGTCGTTTTCCGTCGCGATTTAATTTCGCCAGGTTCTCCCGCCGATCTCGCGCGAGGCTGGGCCTCGTCGGCGCGTTACTCCCGGATACCGGCCCCCCTCTCGCGCCGCATCGGCTCGTTATTAATTCCGGCTCCTTTGTTGCCGAAGTTTTGTTCGCAGTCGCAGGTGCGTCGGCGGAGAAAGCGGCCCGAGGCGAGGAGCGCTTCCGCGAGCAAGCTGACGACAAAAAGGCGGGCGACGTCGGGATCGTCGTTCCTCTCGCGGACGTTTTCTCCCCGGAAGGCGAATCGACAGTCTTCAAAGTTCGTCCCTCTTCGTTATCTTCCACCGTCACGCTTCCGATATCCTTTGATTTACTTCGCCGCCAGCGCGGCCGTGTCGCGAGATTCCCTTCGCGCTGCTGTTCGGTCGTCGTCCCGATAAATTCCCGTCCCCGCGACGCGACGAAGCTCGCCGCTCTTCGTCCGGGAAATACTGGATTACGGCTCGCCGACGACGCCGTCGTGGATTCCTTCGAACGTCCTCGGGACGAAACTGCCAATTTCTGCGGTCCGCTCTCCGCGCGCGCCGACATCGGGGCCGCGACCCTCGCGGCGGAAATCTCCGCGATATTTCTCCCGTATTTCCTGTTGAAGGAGGTCCCTCGGTTCCCGGACAGCCAAGGGGGACGCGACGACGCGCGGCTCCTGGGACTGATCGATGACTCGCGCGAGTGGCACGACACTTCGTCGTCCCGGCGCTTACTCGAATCGCTGCGGATGCTGGCAATCTCGCTGGAGCTCACCGAAATGAAATTCGACCTCCCGCCGCCGGTCTCCCTCGTCGCGCGACGTTTACGCGACAATGGGAGCATGGACGGGTAATCTTCCAATTTTTTCTTGGCTTCGCGCGAACGGTCCGCGCTCGTCGTTCCCGGTCTCGGTGATCCCGTCGCTTCCCGGGTTTCCGGCGAGAAGACCTTCGAAGCGTTTCCGCCGCTCGCCGGTCGATCTCCGTTCCTCGTGCACGAAGACTCCCTTCTCGCGGATCGCGAACAATCATCTTCCGCGCTATGTCCGGGTAATGCCGTTTCGTCGGCACATTTACGAGATCGCGTCGGAATCGACCTTCTCAAAATTGGCACTTCCGACCTTGGTTCCCGATCGCCCGTCACGATCGCGAGAACATCATTATCCGGTGGACCAGGGACGCGCGGATTCCCATTATCGTCCGTGCTAGGCAGTTCCGGGGGATTGCTGTCGACGTTTTCCGGAAGATGATTTCTGTTGTCCTCGCGATCGACGCCATTGTCGGGAATCGTTTCCGTTTCCTTCTCGCTGGTCCGCGGTCTTCTCGCGTCTCTCGGCAAGAAATGATCCAGCGGATGAAGACGCTCGACGTTTTTCCGGCTCGTTGCCTCGGCGAGGTCATAATACTCCTCGACGAAATCGAAGAGACTGTGATCGTAACGATCGTTCAATCTCACGCCGATCACCGAATCGGCCGAGTTTAAATGCAGCGAGTTCAGGACGACGTCGCCCGGCGGCTGGAAGTCGTCGTACTGCTTCCTCAGGGTCGCCTCGATCAGTTTGTGCCGATAGGCTTTGTAATCGAGATTCGACATGTCGATTACGGGATGCCGCGAATCCGCGAGGGACGAGGGACGATCCGACGACGGCGGGCATTTCCGCACTTTCGATCCGCGATCTCCGTTCTTCCCGTCGACTCGAATCCCGCGTCGACTCAAGCTCTTCGAGACACCGCCCGCGTCGTTTCGCAGAAGAGCCGGCGTGGAATTGATCCTGCGAGCGGATTCCGGATGCAGGCTGGAACTCGACGTGGAGTCGGCCGCGTCGATCGGAGCCGGATAATGTATCAATAACGCTCGACTGGCACAATCGCGACGACGGCGATGCGAGGACGAGGCTGTCTTCGTGAGGGCTCTCAGCGGCTTGTCCTACACGTAACGTAATATTCAATTTCAAACTGCAGGGGGAAACTGCGGGAGGATCGAGCCGTCGGTGGCAGTCCGTTTATACGCGACGTTAAATTCTCCCTCTAAAGAGAAGGAGAGAGGAAAATTTTTCGAACAAACTACTTTAATCTCGTTCCGAATCTTTCTCGCAATTACATACGCTTCTACTTCGGGAAAAGACGTAATACCGTCGGGAAAATTTTCCCACTCCGATTCTGACTTTATAATGCAGCGGGATAGTATATATTATCGCCTTCAATGGATTCGGTATCGCGGTATCGCGGTATACCTCGCCGTTGTGTTACAAACGCGAATGTTATATCGCGTTTACGCCGAAAGAAATTGGAAAATTTACAGTCCAGCGCGGTGCTTCCGCTCGAACACCGCGGAAGCGTTATCGATGCGCACCGGGGGTTTTAAAGCGCGTTCCCGAACGCGCGGTTTTTTTCGAGATAGCGCGTCGACGGCGCCGTTATGTCATATGAATAAAAGCGGTGCCAGCCAGCCAAACTGCCCCTTGGCTCCTGTTTATCGAAGGAAACGTGCGCGCCGGGCGAATGAAAAAAAAAAAAAAAAAAGGAAACGAATAAAAATGGTTACACCGCTCTCGTCGCGCGAATCCGCGATAAGAGAGATACTCGCGGTAACGTTTTCACGCCCCCGACTACCCCCGCCGAGGCGAGGGGGCGAGACAATTTATCGGGGGGCACGTACGAGGAGGAGGTAAACGCGCACGATCAGCGGCGCCGCTAACAAGATCGTCAGGGCTAAGGCGAAGGCACTCTCGGCCACGAAGGGTGGTGCCGATCGCGAGGTTAAGACGAGCTTCCCCGGCGCCAGCACGTCGAACATCCCGATCGCCTTGTTTCCCCGTCGGATCCCCCGTCGTAATTGCAAATCGCCCTCCGTCGTCTCCTTTCGCACGTTGAACACTTTAGACCGCCGATCGCGAGGCTGCGGACGCTCAGCCGGTCGATGCCGCCTTCGAGACGTTGGCTGCCAACAGCGTTGTCTTCCATAATGGAGCACTATCGTCGATAGTCGATACCTCCGGTCTCGCTTCGCTTTTTTGTTCTTTTTTCCTTTTCCTTTTTTTTTTTCTCTCGATTTTCTTCTCTTCCACGGCTCCATTTCGATCGTTAAGCTGAATTATCGATTGCGGTACGCGCCGCGGTTTTCGACTATCACATTTTATTATTTATACGTGTTGTCTTACGTATTTATGGACATGAATAATGACGGTTAAATCTATCACACAATTTTGTCGCATATATTCTCATTTAAAATACAAACTTCTATTTCTTGTCCGTTCGTTCAACCAAAATGACTTAATAATTCATATGAGATAGAAGTTCAAGATAGAATTTATAATTTTATTCCATGCATTTTGATATATATATATATATATATATATATGTACGTTCGTTTACGTTACACAAAGTTATAAACGGAATTCTGTCCTGAATTCTGACGACAATTAATTAGATTTTAGAGATGTCGTTCTGACATCAAGTAGGATATTTAGGCAAGTTAGTATTTAATCGCGTTCATGATTGACCTCGCCTCGACGAAACACTGTCTGGGTCGTTAACACGTACAAATTACTTACAATCGTCGGTATGGTACGTCCCGGCGACGTCCAGGCGACTCGGAGTCTGCCGGATAAGCGGAAATTCACGATAAGGGGCCCCGGTCTCCTGGTAACCGTTCTGCCGATGTTCCGGATGTCGCTGATAAGCCCCGGAGAAGATTCTGGTGTATCTTAAGTAACAACCGCTCGGTATTTGCCACTGTAAGTCGAGTTAGGATACTTCCTGAGAATCTCGTCTCGACCTCTCGCGTGTAATGGCGAGCATTCTTGTCTACTCACCTCGTAAGAGGAGCCCGGCACGGGCTGGGGCGGTCTGCCGGGGCACATCAGCATCCTTCTTCTATAGAATCTCGGCTAAACGAGGAGATAAGTGCACTGTGAGACCCCCCTTCCTCCTTTCCCCGCGTGAATTTCTCTCTCGCGCTTTAATCTACGGCTATATCGTCGAAAAAGGGTCCTTTCTACGGACTCGCGCGCGGCAGAACCGCTTCTCTTTAAACGGCTCATAAAGGATATTTACTGGTTGCCCCGATATTTTCGTTTTAGGTTGAAAAGCCGTTACGAGAGTGAAAAATTCTTTAATAGAATCGACGCGATAAGATCGTCTCGCATCGTACAGATTTATGTAACTCAATAAAAACAAAATGGATTGATCCAGTTAAAGTAAATAAAAAAAGTGGGTCGATCAAGATTAACGAAGTATCTGCGACAATTTATTCGTACTCACCTCGGAGTCGCGACCATCCGCGGCTTCTGTAAATATACGAGACAAATATTGGATCAATTGTGCTCTCTATCGATAATTACATTATATATTTATGAGAGAGAAAAATGCGACGCCGCCGACAATATTCCACGTCGAGGGGGAATTCGCGGGTGTGTCTCGCGTCGTGTCGCGACCGTGCCGTTCGCGTTCCCCCTCGCCGCGAAGTCCTTGTCGGGGGTGCCCCCGCGGGGCACAATGGCATAAATTTACCTCTCACGTGTATCGAGAAATGGCATTCGGCTCGATTTCCGGCTGCATCCGAGGCGACGTAGCGCACATTGTGAACGCCGGGATACATCACGTGTCCGGGTCCCTGTGCGAGATATACGATAATTAACTTTTCGCGCGATTGCATGGAAATTTCCTCCGAGGAAAATATCCGCCGTGCATGTACGATGAGAACCCGTTTGCCCCGAATCCGTGCCCCGTGCCTCGCGCCCGTATGCGCTTCGTTCTAAAATCGGATACGAATCAGTCGACGCGATTGATGCCCTTTCTCTTTCTTTTTCCTTTCGCCTCCTCCGAATGACCCGATTAAAGAGATCGGCGCGTAGCCGCGCAGTACGATTCTCGTTTCAATTTGCCTAATCAGATTAACCGTCAGGTTGCATAATGTCCAAGGCCATTTATAACCCGCGCTATCGAGAGCGCAAGCCACCAATTATCCGCGCGTCGGTTATCGCGCGGACAGGGTAATCTCTGTTATTACGTTAATAAAGTACACGTACGCTTTCTCCGCGCGGCGCGACGCGCGCCAAAAGGACACAATAAAAACCGGAGCGGAGGCGTCGACCGACAATGATTAATCATCCAGCTGGGTTTTTCCTACCGGGGCGCACCGTTCCGCGAGGAAAATCGCAGATACTATCCTCCGCCGCATTGCAGCAGTTCCTTCGCGGGGATCTCATTTTCTCGAAACACGAACGCGGATAATTAATGGACGATATCCTCGCTCGATTAATATGCTCGATTGTCAACGGCAAAAGGGGGTTAATTAACTTCAGGATCCGCTAACAGGAGGGTGGGAAAGTCTCGACCGCTCGATATCGGCGACACGAATTTGCGAACAGTCACGGGAAAATTGAGGAGGAATTTCGTATATAACGGAAGATCTCGTATATACGTAATACGCCTGTATCCGATAGCGAATACTGATACGGGACACGGGAACGGATTACCTCTTCGGGCGAGTACCTATACGTACCCTCGTTTTGTAAACGTGCTCCACGCCGACGTTGTCGGTGAAGGTCGGTTCCTGCCAGAATATCAGGCGACTCCGTTCTCCCGGGCTCAGCCTGACCTCGAAAGACACGGGACACATGGTAACCTTGGGATTTTCGGTATCTGAAAATATATCGCAACGTATCTTGATTATCGAGTTTTCTCCCCAAGAGTCTCGCTACCTCTCGTATAGTCTCGCATAGAGAGATAACATATAGAGCGAACAGAATCGAGATAAAACGGGCGTAATAAAGATAAGATGAAGCGGGTTTTGGGGCCGCCAGCCAGAATCTGCGAAAGGAGCACACCGGCGTGATTCCCGCGAGTTCGTCTGATCGGCGCGAGAGCTTATTCTGCGTAATCGCGTATCGACCACGACGATGCACTCCTCTTCTTCCAGCCGCTGCGTTGCGGAGGGAACTTGCTTAAAGCGAGTTTCACAAACTTTCCGAATGAGTAATTAAGCGGGACGGGACGGAGTGCACTTCGCCGCGGAAACTAAAGTTTACTCCGCGTCGGGACGATTCGTGTGCCGATCGATTGTCCCCTGTGCGAAAAGTTCTCCTCGGATAAGTAGACGACAGTCGAAGGTATAAAAAGAGAGAAAGGGAGGTATTGATAGAAACTTCATGGGATTCTTCGGGAGTTTGATCGTAGATTGATAATCTATGAAATCAAAGATTCCGCTTAGGAACTGTCGAATTTCCTAGTCCCCCTTCTATTCTTATCCGCTCAATTTAACTCTCAGAGGAGCACGGTTGACAAGTAAAAAGAGACAGATGTTACTCCTTCGCGTTGGAATACGTCAAGATAAATCCTTTTCCGTTATATCTCTCTCGTAGAATTGCCTTTCAATCTCGACGTACAGATTTTATTAACGTTCGGTTCATCGATACGCTCGTTTATCAATAATTCCGATCCGCAACGAGTAACTTAGCATAAAATGTGAACATGTGGGTTTACTGCTATTCGCTTCACGTTTATTTATACTGTTTGTAATAGCGGCTCTTATCACCTCGATGATACTTAGCGCACGAGAAAAAGGAGTTCGCAGAAGAGATCCATTTTCCTTGCCACTTCCCAAAGCGGATTCTTTTTACTCCTGATATCTCTCCTATGTGCGCCGGACTTACCGCGAACTCTTATCACGATCCTACAGGTGCTGGTGTAATTAGAGACCGGCGACCACGCCGTGAAGGTAACGACCGTCGTGCCCGCCGGCAGATCCGCTTGCAATTGCTTCGCCCATGGAGGTGAAGCGTGTACGTATCTGAAAAACGTAAAAAAGGGGAAAGACAAAAAGAAGCGCACAAAGGCCAGCGCGAGGTGGACGTGCACTCGATGTTTTGTTTAAATAACTATGGACTATTTCGTTTATATTAATAGAAGGACTGACAAAAACTACGGATGTTTTTGGTTCTATCCGTGCAGAAATTTCTCGAAAACCTTTCCATATGCTCGAAATTCGATCCAAATAAATATATCGCTCCGCGATATTGGCAAATAAACTTTTTATCCCAAATATGGAGTTTCTATTTGGAATCTGGACAGAAATAATTCGCGTCCCTCTGAACAGATTCTCTCAAAACGAGAGTAACAATGTTTGAGTAAGATACATTTATATGCACAAGGAATTTTACATATTGTACTTTCAATGGCATACATACATGCTTAAATCGGATCGACTTTGGTGGTTTTCGAATTTGCGGACCACCGTCCCGTTATACTCTTCTTACCTCCACCAATCCATGTTGGACTTGGGTTGCGGGAAAGTTACGCGTATCGTATTTTGCCTAGCCGGTAGTTCGACGTCCATGTCCTGGGGGCAGCTCACGAACGGTCGTGGCGTGTCTACGGCGATAAAGTCGATAGTTAAACTCTCAGATACTGATCGTCCAATTTCCCCACACCGTAACGCGATAAGAAACTCCGATGGCGAGCAATTCCCGTATCGTCGGCCCGCTAGTGTTCAAGAAGCGTTATTTCAGCCCCCCGGAAAGTATCGCGTCGCGCGCGAAAGCGTTTATCACGCTTCTATCGGTTTTACGAGGACGTAATAACAACTATTGCCGTTAGGTATACACAGCAGTCCCTAAAAAAAACGTTGGCTTCAGTGATAGATATGAAATCGATTCTCTTTTTACAACTAAAAAGCATCGAGCCATCAATCATTTATTTAATCTATCGTTAGATTGAACGCAAGGATTCTCGGATATCCTGTATATCCTGGTATATCCCGTCTATAGAACGTGAAGCCCACCCCCTTTATTTACGAAGCAAACCGTAAACGCGCGTAATATCGTTTGATGCGAGATAGAAGCTACTTAAAGAGCGCTCAGCTTCCGAACGGCACCGCTTTCAAAATGGGAGCCGATTTGAATACCTCGCTGGCAAGTAGTGGATTCCCGAGCGATGGCTCGGGTAGCTGTAAACAGGCAAAAACCGAAAACGGCACGACGGGCGTAGAATCAAAATCTCCTTTCCATTAAACGAAACAATTAGCGCCGCCGGAGGAAAGAACCGTGAAAATGCGCGCGACGCGACGGACGAAAAAGCCGGTAAAGCGGGCAAAACGAACGGGAGGAAAAGAGCGGAACGTAAAAACCCGCCGGTCCGAGTAAGCTCGTTAAGGAGCGCGGCGTTAACGTATGATCTCGTTAGCAGGCAAGCCTCTACACACAGGAACTTTGTATTATTAAAAGCTGCTCTCTCTCTCTCTCCGAGCGGCATGACTAATTTAGCGCGTCCGAGAAAATTTCCGTCGTTAAGTTATTTGCCCGATTCTCCGGCGATATTTTACGTTCGATCGCGCGCGACCGAACGCCGGCTCGTTGGAAAGAATAATGTTTCGAAAATCGAGGAAAAACTCAATGGAAGCTCTACTTGTGCAATGTAGGCGCTCGCCGCTTCAAAACGCTTCTCTGAAAAGAGCGACGCGTAGATCCCCGAACAAAAAAAAAAAAATACCGCGGACGCGTCTCAAAAACAGTAAAGCGGCTAGAAAAAAATTATACTCCAACGCGGAAAAAAATTCTCGTCGAAAATAATTACGCGACGATGAAATGAGCGTGCAGCAGTTCGTGCTAAAGCGTCCGCCGATGCAACAGTCAGCTCGTTAAAAATTTTATCGGATAAACATTTTGATTAATTTCTCGGCGAAAGTTACGAACGCGCCTGCAGCGTTTTTCTTGGCTGCCGCGGGGGACGTGTACTGGTGGAACTGAGTTTATACTTGGGTTGTAAAGAGGGTCTGTCGCGACTTCGCGCAGACATATAGGCTGCTCCCCGTTCCAGTGGCCGTCGCTAACGCAGTGTCTCGTGTGCGCCCCCTCCAGCCGGAAACCTCTGCGACATCGGACATGACACTTGGCCCCCTGCGGGTAGACGGATGCGCCGGAAGGGTGACCCGGACATCTGACCTGCACGATTAGACATGGGAAGAACGCGGGATGAATAATATAGTTGAGAGAGCAAAGCTCACATATTCGTATCACTAAATAATGTATTACAGTGTAACAATAAATTACGTTATTATAAACATTTTTTTAACTTCTGACTACTCCGTGTCTGTTCTTGTTTTATCTTGATCTCATTTTAAAATCCCGCAGCTTCGCTTTAATTTCCGCCGGTTGTTCTGAACACTTCTAAATTCTCTACTTTTTTTCAGCTGGCTTTACAACTCGGAATTTTTCAGAATTTTTTTGAACATTTTAACTTGGCGTGTAAAATGCAAAGTGGAAGAGATACGTATTCGAAATGTATGGCGCACGTAGTGTATCTCTTTTGAAAGATATTTTAGAATATATTTCGATTGTATATCGACTCGATCCATCTAACGTGACTAGCCGATATTCGCGCGACAGTTCCCCGTACCTCTGCATGTAGGGGTGGCTCCATGGCGCGACATCCCGATGTCGTCGTCGGCGAGACGCAAGTTCTCTCGTCGGGCGCCAACACCATGTCCTTACTGCAGGCGCAATAGTAACTTCCGGCGGTGTTGACGCACTCGCCGGTGCAGCCGCCGTTCCGGTTTAGACACTCGTTCACGTCTTGACACTGACTCCTGCTTATGCAATCCCATACATGAGGAGCGGGGAATCGCGTGATCCCCGGTTTCCACTCTCTACCCGCTGTATATACTTAGGGTCTTACCTCGAAATTAACGTGTATCCGGCACGACAGGCGCAAACGAACGACCCTACCGTGTTGACGCACTCCTGATCGCATCTGCCGCGACGCCACTCGCATTCGTCGATATCTGGCCGTATATTGAATTTTTCAGATTAATATTGTAAGACTACGTGCGCAAAATATGTGCACGCACGATCATGCAATATGTAACATATGATTGTTGATGAGGGATTGTGACACAATAACTCGCGTGATAGAAATATAAATATATCAAAACTCGCAATCAGACTTGATTTTTATGTTTTATATATATGGGTAACCCCCCTCGAATAACACGATACTTGAATTGCACGGAGTCTCGAATAGCATGGTAAAAAACTGTGACAATTCCACGTTTTAAAAGTTGTTTTTTTTTTTGGAATCTCTTGGAATCAAATGTCCAATTTTATATGGATCAGTCTTGAATTGCACAGTTTTCAATAGCGCGGAATGTGATCGCTAAAATTGTGTGAATCCTAAGTCTCGAATAACACGCGGTTTTCAATTAATCGTTATTCGACGGTTAGCTGTACATACAATAATGTGTATAAAATATATATACTAATATATATTTCATACAACACCGTTTTATTTGAGGCGATTGCGCGCCTCAAAACTTGCCTACGCATTCGTCCCCCTGCAGCCGAAATCCGGTGGGGCACGTGCAGTAGTACGAGCCGGGCATATTGACGCATCCCTCGCTGCAGGGCGCCTCCCCCTCCGCGCATTCGTCGACGTCTGGGGCAAAAGCAAACTCAGTTTCAGTTTACGATTAAGCGACATCGTTTTTTTTTTCTTCACAAGAGCATGCACACGTTTTCCGCCTTTTGCACACGAACCTACACAGGTATCACCGTGGAATCGATATCCCGCCTCGCACCCGCAGCGATAGCCGCCCGGCACGTTGGTGCATTTGTTGCCCTTGCAAATACCGGCTGCGCATTCGTCGACGTCTAAAAAATAAAGAAATAAAAAGGGAAGGAAAAGAAGGAAAAAAAAACGAAACACACGCTCAAACACACGGTCGCGCTCCGCGCGCGAGAAACTTCCGCTCGAGCTAAGCGAGTCTAACTTTGCAGCGGAGCTTCGAAACTGGAACACAAGTAAGGGCCGAGGGTGGAAAGGGCGAAACCGTGTAACTGGGAACCGCGAGTTATCCCCCGGATTTTCCAGAGGTGACGATACTATCTCCTCTCGCGATAATAAAATGAATTGAAACAACAATTCATAAACGTATTGCAAAAGTGATACGAGATTGTCCCTTAATTGCGTTTATTGCTATATTATGCGGCGCAATCCGCTCCATGCATGTTTTTCTTTTTTTCTTTTTTAAGAAAAAAACAAACTCATCAAAAGGAGATAGAGATTTATTTGTACGTGATTTAATATTCAGTAACGATGATTAATCCTTAAATGGTAGATATACATGGTTCATTCTTGCACCATATCATCATTTCAAACGTTTCGCAGCTCTAAAAGATCCTTTTAGTGAGATGCGAATGGCTCTCTGCTCTAAAAAGAAGTTTTAAGATGATGGGAGTATCGGAGTATAAACGAAGCAACGTAAAATTTAAGTCATACTTCAAGCAGTGAAGAAGCAAAGTTGCGAGCGACCAATATGCACGTCAGAAGCTCTTCGACAAATATATAAGTAAACATTTTTTCGCTGTATTTTTGTTTATTATGTATATTTGGGTGCCAATAAAAATGCTCAAAAAACCGCCTATTTATTAACGTTTTTTACAAATAATAGCTGGAATGTCTGTTTTATTATCTCGGTATAGTCATAATTAGTGAATAAATCGATCACTTAGTTAAGGATGCCGAGAATATGTATCGTGAGAGTTAAAATAAATATATATTCGGTATTCGGATATATTTGCTAGCAGTTATATCACTTACCTACACAAGTAGAATTCTCCATTCGGAATCCCTCCTTACATCTGCATTCGTACGATCCGGGATTGTTGACGCAAATGTGATCGCAGCCGTGTTGTTCCTCGCACTCGTCGATATCGCGACACCTGAAACCGTCGACCTCGTCCCTCCGGAAGCCTTTCTCGCACGAGCATGCCGCAGTACCATTTTCCGCGACACAGACCTGCTCGCAGCCGCCGTTACGGTCCCGGCAGGGATCGGACGGTCGACAGGACCCGTTCCACGACTCGTGATCAGGTGGACACTCGCAGCGGAAGGAGCCCACGGTGTTGACGCACCTGTGGTCGCAATCACCGTTGTCGCTCGCGCACTCGTCGATGTCGACGCAGGTCTTCTCGTCCTGCGACAGCTCGTAGCCCGTCGGGCAGGAACAGAAGTGGCCACCGATGGTGTTGGTGCAACTGTGCGAGCACTCGCCAATTTGCTCGAGACACTCGTCAATGTCCAAACAGGTGGAATTGTCGGTGTGCAGGTAATGACCTTTATAGCAGGTGCACACGTAGCTGCCTAGCAGATTCACGCAGTCGTGAGTGCAATTGTGGCCGCTGGTCAGGCACTCGTTCACGTCCACGCAGTTCTTCCGGTTGTCCGGCATCAGAACGTAGCCGGCCGGGCACTCGCAGTGATAACCGCCCTCGGTGTTCACGCAGGTGTGAGAACAGCCGGAGTCCACGTCATTCTCAAACTCCTCGCACTCGTTGATGTCCTCGCAGGTCTTGAGATCGCGCCTCAGCCGGAAGCCGAGCGGGCAGGAGCAACGGGTGCCCGGAATCCCGTCAGGACCATCTACCGGGTGACAGTGATGGGAACAGTTCCCGTTGTCGTTCTTGCAGCCGTCTATCAAAATGCAGGTCTTGTTGTTCCGCTCTAGAGCGTATTCCGTTGGACACTGACATCTGAAAGTGCCCACGAGGTTCACGCAGGAGTGCGAGCATCCTGCGTTTTCGATTTCGCACTCGTCGATGTCGTCGCACAGGGCCGGATCTTGAGGATTCCGCGAGAAGCCGGCGTTGCAGCTGCAGTTGAAGCCGCCGGGGGTGTTCAGGCACTGATGGGTGCAGTTGTCTTGCAACTCCAGGCACTCGTCGACGTCCACGCAGGTAGCATTGTCCCGCGACGAGAGACGGTAACCCTCGGGACACTCGCAGACGTCTGAACCGTCCGCGAAGACGCAGGCATCCGAACATTGGCCGTTGCATCGGTTCTCGTGAACGCAAAGAGTGTCGTCATCCTGCGACAAGGACATTCCCACGGGACACGAACACGTCACGTTACCATCGCGATCGTGGCAGAAGTGAGAACAGCCGCCATTCTCGATCGCACATCCGTCTTCCTGCACGCAAAGCCTCTGATCCTCCGCTAGGATCATACCGGGTGGACAGGCGCAGGTCACGTTTCCCTCTTCGTGGTAACACAAATGGGAACAGCCGCCGTTGTCCTGCAGACAATCGTTCTCGTACGTGCACGTTGTTTCATCCTCGGACAGGACCATTCCGAGCGGGCAGGAGCAGGATAACCGGTCGTCCTCGTGATGACAGAAATGTGAGCATCCCCCGTTATCGATGGAACACGCGTTTATCTCTACGCACGTCTTGCCGTCATCCTTCAGCAGCTCGTAGTTCTCGGGACACGCGCACTCGATACCACCTTCCGTGTTCGCGCAAAGGTGCGAGCACCCTCCGTTGTCCTGGATGCACTCGTTGACGTCCTCGCAGGTCCTGCCATCCTCACCGACTCGATATCCCGCAGGACATGAGCACTCGTAAGAACCATTATGGTTTATGCAGCTGTGCGAGCAAGGATTGTCCAGGACAACGCATTCGTCCACGTCCTCGCAAGTCCTGCCGTCGTCCCGCAACTCGTATCCTTTGGGACAGGTGCAGTTAAAGGCGCCGTTTGTGTTCAGGCACTCGTGAGAGCAATCGGCCTCCTCGGACAAACACTCGTCAATGTCCTGGCAGGTCATCCCGTCGTCTTGTAGCTCATATCCTTCCGGACAACCGCAACGGACGCGGCCATCGTCCTCTTCGCACGTATGTGAACAACCGTGATTCTTGGCGCAAGGATCGTCCGGCAGCTCCTGGCAGGTCCTGAAATCTTCCCGCAACCGCCATCCGACAGGACACTCGCAGTAGTAAGAGCCGTCAGTGTTGATACAGTCGTGAGTACAATTGTGCTCGTCCCGGCACTCGTCAATGTCCTTGCAAATATGCTCTCCGTGTGAATAAGTATATCCCGCGGGACAAGTGCAGTTATTATTTTCTTGAGATTTCGCACATTCGTCCGGGATGTCCACGCACGTGCGATTATCCTTTCCAAGCTCCAATCCCGCTGGACAGGAGCACGAGTAGGAACCCTCGTGATTTCTGCAATCGTGACTGCAACCGTTCGTCGCCTTGTCCTCGCATTCGTCTTTGTCCTTACACGTATCCCCGTCCAGAAGGTAACCCGGAGGACACTCGCATCTATAACCCGAGTCTGACGGAACGCATGAGTGTGAGCACGAGGAATTGGAGCAAGGATCGTGCCTCACGCAAGTGAAACCGTCGTCCTTCAGGATCCAGCCGACGGGACACGAGCAACGGTAAGACGCGTACGCGTTGTAGCATAAATGCGAGCACTCGTGTTCGCCTTCGAGACACTCGTCGATGTCCCGGCACTGACCGCGCTCGTCCTGTCGAAGTCCTTGCGGGCATACCGGGTCCCCGCAGGTGAGACTGTCCTCGAGAAGTCTCATACCGTGCGGACAAGCACATTTGTAACTTCCGAGAGTGTTGATGCATTCGTGCGAACAATCGTGCTCGTCTTCGAAACACTCATCCATATCTAAGCAGGTCTTTTCGTCCTTCTGCAAGATGTATCCTTCTCGGCAGACGCACCTGTAAGTGTCGCGCTCTTTTTCGCAGAAGTGACTGCAATTCGCGTTTTCGCACGGGTCGGCGAGAACGCAATTCCTGCCGGTGTCGTCCAAGGACATGTCGCCAGGACACCCACATTTGTAATCGCCCTCCTCGTTGTGGCATTCGTGCGAGCACTCGTGCGATCCTTCCGCGCATTCATCCACGTCGGCGCACGTGCGCGCGTCCTGCAGGACCCGGTATCCCTTCGGGCAGACGCATCCGTATCCTCCGGGAAAATTCTTGCAGGCGTGCGAGCAATCGTGTCGATTCTCCGCGCACTCGTCCACGTCGATGCAGGATCTGCCGTCGGTGTCCAGGACGAATCCTGGGTGACAGGCGCACTCGTAACCGCCGTGCAGATTCGCGCACCGGTGCTGACAGCCGTGATCGTCCCTGCCGCACTCGTCGACGTCCGTGCAGGTCGCGCGATCGTCCAACAGTTCGTATCCGGTCGGGCAGACGCATCGTGGTCCCTCCGCGGTGTCCTCGCAGCCGTGAGAACAGGGCTTCGTCAGGCTGGCGCAGCTCCTGAGCTCCTCGACGCAGGTCGCGTTGTCGTCAGTCAACGTGAACCCCGAAGGACACTCGCACGCGTACGCGCCAATGGTGTTGTGACAGATGTGCGAGCACGGCCGGGATAGTACGTCGCATTCATCCACGTCTTTGCACCTCGCGCCGTCCTCCTCGAGCTCGTAACCAGCTCGACAGGCGCAACGGTAGCCGCCCGGCTCGTTCACGCACTCGTGCTGGCAGCCGTGCGATTCACTCTCGATGCACTCGTTTATATCTGGAAAAGAATGTCAGCAGGATGAGCTTGCGTCAAAAATAAAATACTGTGATCTTGCTTTCTGAAATTAACGATAGAATCCTCTCTCTCGATTAATTAATGTCAGCCAAATCTCGTTTGAACGGAAATTTTATTTTATCAGCTTTATTTTTTTACGGAAAAGACTTAAGAAATTAAAAAAAAAAAAATATATATATATATAATGAATTAAAAAACAGAAAGTTATAAAATAAGACGTTTTAATATCTTTAGTTGAAATTGTAATGTAGACGTTTAGACATCTCATTTCAACTGGCTATCGAAATATTATTATATAATAATTGTTATTGATAAGAAATTTATCTTGTCAAGTACACTTACCAACGCAGTCCAAATTTTCGTTTTTCTTGAAGCCGACCTCGCACTTAGAACTCCGCGGAACTTCGGTAATCTCTCCTCCGTAGTCATCGCTGTCACTGTCCTCGTCCTCGTCGTCATCGTCGTCATCGTCTTTATTTTCATCATCGTAGTCCTCATCTCGAAGGATCTTCGTTACCACGTGTGGATGTATCCTACTTATGCACTTGTACGATCCCACTGTGTTCTCGCACTCGGTATTCTCCGCACATAACTTCGGTGTCGCCTCGCATTCATTAACATCTGAAGAAAAACGATATTTAAGAGATTTTATAGCTTCATAATATTCATTTATGCAGAAGTAAAAACACAAGTCAGATTAATAAAGTTCGTTTTCGTAAAATAAATGAACTACGTAATAAACTTTAATAGAATGGGAGAAAAGGTTCTAGATAGAGTAAAATATTGTAAAATCGATCGATCTCTCTAAATTATGACAACGAAATTACCTAATCAGAAAAAGATTGAATACAATCTAATTAGAAGAAGATAGAATACAATTAAACATTTAAGTAAACACCTCAATAATTCATTACAAAATTGACAATAGAAATTAAGAGCGATCGATCGAAAACAAACGAACGTGAGACGAGCACTTTATTATACCCTGACAGGTCTTCCAATCGTTCGTCAGGTAAAAACCGTCCGGGCAGAGGCAGAAGACGCTCCCGGGGGTGTTTAAGCACAGGTGAGAACAGTTCGCGTTGTTCAGCGCGCACTCGTCGACGTCCTCGCACGTGTGATTGTCGGCAGCTAATTTGTACCCGGGGATATCCGCGCAACTGCACTCGTAGGTACCTTCGAGATTGCGACAAGTGCCTTGGCAAGGCCCGTGTCCGTTGTTCGAGAGGCATTCGTTGACGTCTGGAACGATATATACGTACGTGCCGTACAGAGAATTTTTCCTCTCGACAAGTGTCTCTCACAAGTTTGTTAAACAATAAATCAAATGGAAGAGCGCCGAAATAAATTGCCCTTCGAAGCTACGACAAATTTCTGGTTAGGTGCGAATGTAAGTGGAAATATACCAGATATACGCTGACACAGAGGGGAACGACGAGTTAGTAAATATTTGCCGAAGATATATATCTTTTCTTCCTATATGACTAACCTTGGCAAGAGCGACCGTCGGTTCCCAGCTGAAAACCACGATGACACTCGCAAGAGTACGAGCCGGGTTCGTTCCGGCAAATATCGCTGCATTTCGCAATTCCTTCCGCACACTCGTCGATGTCTGGTGGTCGGATATCGGGGAGGGAAAAGAAAATCGAATTTTAAACACTTGGTAATTTTACACATCACTTAAAAACAGCGTAATTAAATTTTTCAGCATTATTATAACTTTTGTTTCTTCTTCTTCTTCTTCTTTTTTGTGAAGAGTAAAAATTGATGAAATTTTAGCGTAAATAACGAAGCTGCTAAACTGGATAATTAATTTGCGCGTTCTGCTGGAAAGGAAGATTGGAATTTTTTTTATTTTTTTAATGCTTGTCTACAATCGTTACATCGGTTTTTGTTAGCATTTTATCGCGAGTCGCAGCTAGAGTGAGAGATTCAATGGCAAAACGATCGCGTATTATCGACACGCGCTGGAACACATCGCGTGTTGTAACACTCGGGCTACGTTACACGCTGATCGGGCAATCATCGGGGCTACAAACGCGATACGATCTGCAAACATGTTGCGTATTACATGTTGCGTATATGGAGGAAGCGAAAAAATAGAAGACCGATGAACGCGGCGCGGACAAATGTCCGAGTCGATGACGAGCTTTTAAAATTCGATATCGCGCGCAACAGTCTATGCGCAATCTGACTCTTAAATCAGTCCGATACGCGCGCGAAAAACCCGATAATCCCGTCATTAAGACGGCGATGGTTTACGTTATACGCGTTTTTTTTTCCGAGAGCGCTAAAATTGCTGATCGCACATATACGTTCCCCCCCTTGGCTAAAATTATTTTCACCTCGCGCGAGCATCCCGCGGCGACGACGCGTGCATTATTCAGGTGTGTTCTCGGGGAAATTTAAAAATATAAAGCGCGCGATAGAACGAAAAACTGACATGCCGAGAAGGGAAACGTCGAAAACAGCGAATACAACAAATCGATACGGTGTAGTCAATACGAAGACGGTACGCGAATTTCGTGGGAGAATATCGGCAGAAATATCGCGTGTCGAGTGAGCGGGAAAGAGAGAAAGAGGGAAGGGGGCGGGAGGAAGGGGGAAGCGCGCGAGCGAGTTTGGCTTTCCTCAAAAGATATAAAAATGTGGAATATATGCAGCGGTGAATTTGTATATATGGCACTGTAAGCTGTAAGCGCGTATGGATTACCGATACAGGACGGTCCTTTAGCTCGAAAGCCGTCGAAGCAGGAGCACTTTATGCCGCTCGGCGTATCCTCGCACACGTGTTCGCATTCGCCCGTTCCCTGATCGCAACGTTTCATCTTATCCGTCGGCAGTTCTGTGTGTGTAGCGGGAAATACATTAAATAGATTTCATAACGCGAGCACGCACACATATACGCGCGCGAGCAAACAGACTCTTGTACTCATCATATTAAATTAATTAACAAATGCGTAAACACACGAGCTGCGCGCGCTGTATTTTATGTGTGATCACTAACGCTGATGATAATATTTTATATTTATGCTTACGAGTGTCCCTCAGGCATTTCGGGCGACGTCCGAGCCAGGTGCCGTTGCTGCAAAAAAGCCTGTCCGTCGTAGAATCCACGAAGACGTGGCCATCCGCGCACTCGTAAACCGCGACGATGTATCGATTGTACGGCGGCAGTACGTTCTTCCTTCTACGGAACAATACACATCCTATTATTCCAGATAGTATATGTATTAACCTTTTCGTAGTTTCTACGTCGAGTTGGATTCGATATAATGTGTTGCGGTTACATCTATAGCCTGGTCACATAATTCTTTAAGGATTCGCGAATCTACGCGATTATAATCGGCAAACTGTACTTTACCTCCCATAATTTTATCCGAGAAACAAATATTCTTCGATTCACGTTGGATCAATGAAATGAAATTGAAAATCTCGAGCTCTCTCCAAGATACATCTTTTCGTCATTTTAAGAGTTTTTCTTTTTTCTTTTTTTTTTAATCTTGGCTGTTTCAATCTGTGCGGCTATACAAACCTGGCGTATTTGGCGGGGCGAGCATGCTCGATCAAAGGGGCCTTAATAAGTCCCTTTCCGAGGCTCTTCCTCGCGAAGCAGCTGATATCCAGTTGGGACACCACGGTTTCGTTTAATCTCGTTGCCGTGGGTAGTCTCGACGAGGATTTCGCCGGCCTCTTCCTTTTCTTTTTCCTCCTCTTACCCTCCTTCGTTTTTCTGCGCTTCTTTAAATCGTCTATCCTCTCGAGCGCCTTAAGGCCGTCCTTGGCGATTTGTAACTTGCTCCTGTCCGGGACGATCGGCTGATCGCCGAGATAGAGATCGTTGCGGAAACGTCGCAACGTATTATCTATACACAGCGGACACACCGCGTAATGTGACATCGGTGCTAATCTTCTATTTACGCGAAATAGAATAATGTAATTGCCGCATATTGTTAATGAATAATAAACGCAAATATTCGTTCGTCAGCGCGCGATCATTAGCGCGTTGTACGTTTATTGTACTAGCGCAAATAAAATATTCATTTTGCAATTATAATTAAAGGAATTTTAATTAAATTCCCGTCACTCATACACCCCCGCCCCGAATGGACTTTAAATATAATATTCGTTTTGCTGAGCAAAAATATTTCTAGAGATATTCCGGCGTTAGCGTTACGTCACAGAGGATTAATTTCATCGGATATATATATATATATATAGTGTATGGTAGTCCAACACGTGGACAGACACATCTTTTACCGCCTTTTACCGCGCGTATGTGATTGCCATCAAATAATGAATTTTTCACACGCCTTTCTGTATCATACATAAGTAACGCATATAAAGCAGTCGAGTACGTGCTGCTCACGTAAATCCTTCAGGATTAGTTTCCGTAAAAAAATCTGCGCCATTTCCGTTCAACCCAGATGCGAGAAAAGACATTCGCGGTAATTATTTTCGACCTATTAAAAAATTAGGGCTTTCATCTTTCGATGACTTCGAACGGCAACTTCTTGCCACCGTCTAATTCTTTAGGTTCTTCAGGAATGTCTCGTTCTTCATCTTTCGCGATATTTTCGAGTAATTTACATTTACGCGCGCGTAATAATTGAATAAGCGCATGCAAGCTGGCACGTGCAAGCTCCTCTCTCGTCAAGCACACCAGCAGCGGCATATCCCGACCAAAGCCCTGATCCAAAGGGGGACAGGAAGGTGTGGGCGGGGGGGGGCGGGCGGGAGGGAAGGGACGTGTACGTATGCTCGTGTACGTCCGGGCGGGTGTATGACTTGGCGGCTTATCTCCATCGAGGCGAATGCGAGCTATGCCATGTCGGCGAATCTCGTGCCGCCGATAGCACGCGCGTTGGAACGAGGCGCGTTCCTGGAGCACCGAAACGCCTGCACTCCGCGAATTTTCCCCCGTTCGGGAATTCCGTTCCCGCCTGGTTTCTGGTTCGTATTAAGGCCGGGCAAACATTCGTGATCGGCATCGCGCGCGATTTATAAGCACGTGATTTATAAGCGCTTCGCTAAGTATATTAATTTCGATATCTCTCGTTGGTTTAATGACATAAAGAGATATATGATACGCGCGCGCGCGAAAGGAGATAAAATAAATTATTTGATATCGCGAATAACTCGTCGGTCGTTACAAGCTGAAATGCCCGAAATAAATAATCCGATCGCTGCCCTTCTTCCCCGTTCCTCTTTGTTTTTTTAATTAAAAAAGTTTTCTGCCGATTCCCGAAAGGGAGCGCGAAGAATGGAAGACACCCTATATATTCGCAGTCTCGGGAGCAATGCCAACCCCCCCGGCTTAAGATATGCCGATAACTTGAGCATCGGTGAAAATTGAATCTCACGGTAAAGTCGTGTTTCCACAAATCATAGGAATGGGCGTCTTGGGTAAATTGTTCTTCGAAACTTTCGGGGCTTTCTGACATATCTCTCTCTCCCCTCTCCCGTCGCGCCCGCTTCGTTTCATATAAAACTGCGATTTTAAATATGGTTCCGATTCGAGCTTAGATTAACACAATAGAATCCGATCGAGCCGAAATAGACGGCATTTAACTCCATAGGACGTGACTTTTTTATATTTGTGCTTTCGATTAATTTATCTAAATGTAAAGATTTTATGTAATTATATCAAGAGATGAAGAGACGCCTTTCAGTACAGAGATACATTAAGATTAAATTTATCTCCGAATCGCACGCTGCAGTCAAAGTGAACAACAAAAGGAAGCGAGTTTAATCATCATACCCGGTAATCTCCGTCCGTCGATCATAAAGAGTAGAACCGCGATCCGCGCGTTACGGTATTAAGAGTGAGTTTGACCGGGTGAGTCCCTTTATTTCGACAGCACGATGTCCCGCGGTAAACGGATTTGTCCGTCAGTCTATTGAACACCGCGGCGCGGCGTCGAGGCTTCAGCCGGCTGCCGGGCACGAGGAGTTAAGCTCCCTTTCATGCGGATAATTGACTTACGTCGATCAAATTAGTATAATGCCGCCATAGCTATGGACATAGCGGGAGACATCGCGCGCGGATACGTGATATGCACAAATCGTTAATTCCCCGGGAATCCAATTCGTGGATAATTCGAAACAATTTCCTTAATGCAGACGTGTCTGGAATAGAACATCGCGCGATTCGCAAGCGGCAAGTTAATTAAGCCATTTGCATCAGCATAAACGATTAACTGTTCTAAACGATGTGAATGCGGGGGGCAAACCCGCAAAATTAGTCAAAATAAAACACAATTTCCCAATAATACCGTTTGTATGTCGCAATTGTCTGTGTACAAATAACGTACTCGCGTTGACGGATGAATAATCACCGAGACGACGATTAGTCGTCGCTGTTAATCGACGAAGACGGACATTCCACGAATGGACGAACGTCAATTGAATCAGAGCGACGCGGCAACGTGGAATGTGGATCATATATGAGAATAGATTCTGCGCGATCCACGCCCGATTGATCTCAATCGGGGAATGTTCGAGCTTGGAATTTAGAACATCGCGTTCTCGTCGCGACTCGTCGTTGCGAAGCGGTTCGGAAGCGATTTTTCTTACGGGGCACGCATTTCGGGACGGGATGGTCCCAACCGTCGGCGGTGCAGGTCGCTATCTTGTGACCCTTGAGTTTACGGCCCGGCTCGCACGAGTACACGATCCGCAGAATGCCGTCCTGACGAGCTTTCTCCTTCACGGTTCCCCATTGCGGCGGCTGCACCTCGGGACAAGCGCCGACTATCCCTGAAAGCGAGGAAAATTGAACGTTATACGATCCGTATCGCGAACGCATACAATAACCCATAAACATGGAGAAACCGGGCACATCGGCGGAAATTTGGCGTGCCATTAAATCTCCCCTTCTATACGTTGCCGAAAATCCAATAACAATATTTAATCGGCTCAAACACGTCGAATTTTATATCGTATATTGTACACGTAATAGATAAATATGTGCGCATACATTAATATTTGCATATGATTAAAGATTAAATGTATACAGATATTAGCTTTTATACATTTATAAATATCTCTTTCCCTCTATATATAAACGTTAAATATTGTAAATCACAATCTGCGATTACGAGAGTTAAATTTTCTATTTGCTCTTTCACGTTCCACATATACCATCGGTATCGCAATGCGATCGCGCCCGCACAAGTACCGTACACCCTGACAATGCACGTACTCCGGCAGCCAAGTCCCGCCGCGTGAAAGGGGAAAAGACGTGTGTCAAGCACATCGGGGATCTCGCGCAAGCACGGTGTGTGGGACGCGCGCGGGATTAAAATTGAATAATTCCACAATATAATATACGGTCACGTCGCGACGTCCAGCGTGTGTCTGTGCAATGGTGTGCGGGGCGCGTTTCCGCCGCAAAATTTTTACCGTACCGGACCGCCGCCGGACGCATAGCGATGCGATGGCCGTCAACGGAGAGAACGAACGTGGCTGGCGTAAAATAAATCGTCCTGGCGCGGGGCGTCTCGCGAAAGCGGATGACTTTTCGTTTTGCTCGCGTGGGAAGATTGCCTCGGGCCTATCGAGAACTGCTACACTTTAGCGTCTGCGATGAATTCCAAGCCGATTATATTTTCTCGCGAAAAAAATCTCCAATTTTCGCGTTTTTAATTACGGAGGCATTTTTCACCACGAAGGATTTTTAAGCGCGATCTAATATGATCTACAAAAGAGCTTCGCGCGATATACCATTTTTTGCAGATGTAGACGGATGATAAAGAGCTTCGTTTTATTGCCCTTTACGTAACAGAATTTCCACGTTTTATTCTCGGCAACAAAATTTCCGGGGAAAATTAAAAATTCTCGGTGAGAGAAATATAAATTTTCAAAAGTCTGGGTCTCTCTAAAATATCTCTCAGTTCCTCCATAACTTTCATTGTCGGGCCTCTCGCACAGTCTATCGACCGTAGTGATAAAATGACCAGTAGTAAAACTTCGGGCAACTTGCGGTTTACCTGTCTGTCTCTCTCTCTCTCTCTCCCGCCATTACAAAGTGCATCGTAAATTGATGTAAACATACTGCCAACGTAGCGCGTCAGGACTCTAATTTTCTCTTATATTTAAATATACATTTAAGTTCTCTCATTAATTTATCCCTACCACGAGCAAGCTTGCTTTTGATACAGCGACGGCGACAACAAGCGACAAATTCTTAATCGAATGACCTGAATCTCTCGATTCGAGCTGAAATTTAAATCAATTGAATTAAATTGTTCGTTTTTATCCCTCTTTAAGAAGCTTAGATGCGACTTTACGACGTAAATCGGATACTTCGTTAAATAAAGAGCGCAAATTCCGTTTCCGAGTTTTACGTTGAAGTATTCAGCAATATTCTTCGCCTCGGACCCTCATTGGATGGGGGCCCTCCCCCCCTCTTATCTTCAAACGCGTTAAATCGCGCGGAGATCCAGTCGCTGTCGAAATGCCAACTTTCGCAAGGGTTACAAAACGTGACGCGGCTTTCCGCGAGATTAAGCGAAGAATTAAACGCTTAATTAAAGTAACTCGCGGGGCCTCCAATTTACGTAATTGACTGCCGGCGAGTGTGAGTCAGTTTCCAAGTTACCGCGTATGGGAACGGGCGGCGGAATAATTCCAAGTCACTTCGAGATTATTGGATTACCTCTCTGATTTGCATAGATCGGTAAATCAAAGGCTATACGCGAGTAACGCGAGGCCAAACAGCGCTAGATCAGCGCGCTGCCCGTCCTTGAACCAAGTCGAGGATCAATGAGACTTTACATTTCGTAATCTCGCACCTCTCAAGCGTTTTGACGCCGCGCACGGACAAAGGAGTAAAATACCGCGGCGAACGGACGTGATATAAGAGCGCTGCGGCAAAATGAAATTTGTTCCCTAATTCGTCCTAAATTAAGCGAAACCTGCTCGACACGGTATCGTCAGTCGTAACACAGGAGCGAAGCAACGTATCGCAATTTATATGTTTCGATTCTCGACTCTCTTCCGTTTACTTCGCACGTTTTTTCGCGCCTTTCCCTTTTCTTCTTTTTTTCGTTTTTATTCACGTCTATGTCCATTGGTCTGCCTCGTATTGATCTTTCCTCTCCCGAAACATCCTTCGGCAAAGAGCCGCTTTCTTATTCGAATAGCTCTCGGTACCTATAGGCGTATGTGCCATGCGAACGACGCGCGCGATCAATGATCTCGACTCCTCCGGTGTCAACGACTTTGACAACCGCGCGCCGCGCCGCACCGCGCGAGGTAAAGGACGGTTAGTCACGCGCGTCCATTAAGGCCCCGTCACGATCGAAATCGCAGATTCGACATGTCTGCCTCTTTAACGATATCCAATCTCGTGGCCGATACCGCCGGCCATCCACCGTCCGGCACCGTCATGCTCCGCGAACACAATCGTTGCGGACGTCGGGCGGAAGAAGAAAAGCTCATCGAGACGTTCCGGCATAGAAGCGCGCGCCGGATATACTTTAAATAAAGAATCGACGTGCGCCTCGACGCGCACCCCTCGGGAAAGTTTTATCAAACGCGCGCTCCCTATATTCGGCACAGTCAGCCACTGAAATAATATACGAGCGCGCGACCGGACGGGAGAGCTGCTGCTCTTAACGTCCGACAGAAGTATGTGCGGGAATATATAACTGTCCGAAAGAGAGAGAGAGAAAGTGGAAACCGCGCACGCTACACACAATTCGATCTCGTCCTTTTACTTATTCAAAGCACTTGTCTTGTATTTTGAAATTTTCTCGCCGCTGGAAATTTAGATATCGACGCTCGGACACATAGTTGCTTTCCATTTACATCAAAACTCAGATAATTCTCACTTGTGATGTCATTCTGTCTTTATTATTCATTAATTCCCAAAAAGGATAAAACGACGTCACAAGTGAAAATTAGCTAAGTTTTGATGTAAATGGAAAGCACCTAATGCGCCTGGTGTGGAATTAAAATTGATTCGTTATTCATCGTCTATACATTCTCGCGATATTTCGTATGGAAATACGTGCTTCAAATCGAATGCGCACGCGTGCTCTCGTGTTTGCGGTATTTATCGCGGTACTTGCTTTGGTAAATAAAAATAAACGCGTTTACTGCATATTTCATCGACCACGATTCGCTTAAAAGCCCGATGCGGCGCACAGAAGAGAAGTAATTAATTTTCGTAATTCGCTCGCATAAAAATCGATCCCTATCTCTCCTCCGGCAGCGGCCTCCCTTCGATTCGTCCTTCTATGGTCGTTCGCGAAAAAAAAATAAGAGAAAGAAAAAAGAAAGGGAAAAGAAAAGAGAATAGGATACCTCCCGGTCTAAATTATTCGCGGCTTCCGTAAACAGCAATCTTTTTTTTTCTCCTTCTCCCCCCCGAGGGAGATGGGCTTCCAGACGACGACGGAGGGAGATATCGGTCACGTCGATTTATTTGCGGCGCGCACTTTCTCGCGCCTTCGGACGACCGGACTGACGTCCTCGGTCGGCGGCAATCTCCGCCGCAACAGGAACAACGTTTTCCCATTTGGCAGTCCGAAACCGAAGACAGCGCGCGACGCCGCCGTCGTGTTCCTTTCCCCGTGAATTTTTCACCCGATAAATCTGTCGTCACCAGGCTCCGCGCTACGCGCGGGAATAAGTAATGACGCTCGCGGAGAAGAAAAGCGGCTTCGGAGAGGGCTTCTCTCTCCCCTGTCCCCTCCTCCAACCCCCTCTCGGCTCGCTTATATACGCCGAGAACCGCGTGCCTAAGTTTCACGCTTGTAATGCCATGGATTTTCTATCGGCGCTTTCCACGAATCTCCCGATATCTTTTAAAACTTCGGCAATTATGCGGGAGATGGGCCCTATAAAGAAATGTCCGTCGCTACACCGCGATAAATAGTTTCGCGTTTCTCCTTCCTTTTTTATTCGTACATTTTACGCGACGTGAAATTTCAAAGAACTTTAGCGGAAGTCTAAAGTGAGCTTCAGATAATCTATTATTCGGGTCAGATTTCAAGAGGACAGAATTCCATTTATAATTTCATGTCGTATATTTTATTGTCTTTTGTGCTAAATGTATTTCGCGATTGTCAAACGTTTCTCTATTGTACAGCATGTCAAATTGTAAATAGAGAATTCTATCCTAAATATTAATTAATAATAATTAATTAATAATTAATGATTCGAGATACGAATTATGGATATCGCCTAACGTGAGTTTTAGGCTCGCGCGACCAAAAGTCGTTATACAATTATTTTCTTTCTATCAACGAACGCTTTTGCATAATAATTTCCTAAACGCTTATTAAGATCCAGATTTTAGTTCTAAAAAAAGGGAGGAAAGAAATTGTGCAATTTTTCTCCGGTACGGAAAAGTTGCTATATATCAGTACGTCCGATCTTCGCGACGCCCGTCAACCGCGGGACGGATCCCGCTCTGGGAGGAAGAGAACGATACAGTTCTCCGCGTATTTCATATACGAAGAGAGACTTTTTCCAGAAACGACGACGACGATGACGACGTCTACTCTTCCAGAAACTGCTTTTAAGACGGCACGAAGTTTTCCCCGCTGCGAGACGGGCACTGACACAGTTCTATCGAATTACTTATCAAAGCCGCAGAGAAGGCTCGCTTCGACCCAGCGACCGCGCCGCGACACGATCGAGCGTCGAGAGCCCGGGAGTACGACCCGATCGGGGAACTCGCGCGCGGGGAACCGACTCGCGTATCAGGTTCGCGTGCCGCACGCACCGTTCGCCGCTTTATTATAACG